CACCTGGCCCTGCACTCAGGTCACTCCTGGCCGTGCTCAGGGGACCCTATGGCATATCGGGGATCAGCTGTGGTTCACTGTGTGAGAAGTTCCCTCCCCGCAGCCTACGCCTCCAGCCCCCAAAACAAGTAAGTTTGGCTTCAGTCGCCATCTGGGGAAGAAGGAGGAAGGAGATGCCCCACATACCAGTGTGCTGGCTTCAGAGGCGGCCCAGGCCTCTGCCCCCTTCCATGCTCAGGTGCTGATCACTCCCTCACCTGCTGTCTCCACTGTGGCCAGGTGCCGGGCGGGGGCTGGACAGCTGCAAAGCGTGTTCCAGGGGCCTGGGGCTCATTCCAGACACGGGAACCGCAGTGGAATTACCCACTGGTCAGGGCCAGTGAGAAACAAACCATGGTGGAATGGGCTCACCCCCCACCCCCCAGGGCCCAGAAGAGGCCACTCTGTCCGCTCACCTGGTCAGCAGGTCGGCAGCAGTGCAGCTGGGGGCTGCTGGGGGCCGTCCTTGAGTTCCAGGGCCTTGGGTGGGGATGCCACCAGGGTACCCAGGGGCCCACTGCGCTGAGTGGCTGCACTGTCCACCATGGGCACTCGCCAACACCTGCCCGCTGGAGCACCTCACACATGTCTCTAACCAGCATCCAGAGACCAAAACTTCTCCCCATCGGTGCTCTGACCCGTGTGACCCCTGCAGGTAGACAGCCCCTTCCCACCAGCCTCAGACCGGGGGTCCTTTTCCACCACAGGCCAGAGTAGGGCCACCGGCAAGACCAGAGGTCCAGCTGAGGCGGCACCTGACCCTGAGGGACTCGCTGGAGGCCAGCCTCAGCCTCCCCCAGAGGGTCCTGGTCCCCAATCTCCCCTCCTCCCCTTGTGGGGTGCCGAGACCCCCGGCCAGGGAATGCAGTCGGTGAAGGACGATGAAAGACCATAAACCAGAGGCAAAAAGTGAAAAAGCATCATTGGAGTTTTCACTCCCACAGTGTTACACAACATCACACACCCAGACTAGACACGGCCCGCTGACCCCTCCTCCTGGGGCCTAGACATGGCCCGCTGACCTCGCCTCCTGGGATCTGGACATGGCTCGCTGACCCCTCCCCCTGGGGTGTGGACACAGTCTGCTGACCCCATCCCCGACTGGGCCAATTCCTGACAGCTGCACCCACGCAGATGGACTCTTCCAGCCCCTCTGCGGTTCCGAAGGGCCCTCCCGGGGTGGGGCTCGCCGGGTCGGCAGGTCCCGTGATTCCCGTTGGCCGCAGGGTCAGGCAGGACAGGACGCTCCCTGCACTGGCACCGCGGCTGGGTCTGAGCCCTGACTCCGCGGCGCTCCCTGGGTGCACAGCTGGACAGGGGGCGGAGGCCCCGCTGGCCGCTCCCGCTGAGCACTGCGGGAGAGCACCGCCCTGGAGCCGGCTCGAGCCGGCTCGAGCGCGGCCCCGCGGGACCCCACGATGACCCTGAGCACAGCCCGGCGCGGCCCCCACCCGGCCCCCGGCTCTCTGCGTGTCCACCGCGCTGGACGCACCCAGACTGCTCCCGTGGGAGATGAGGACGGGCAGCGCACGCACGCGAACTGCCTGGACCGCCCTTTCATTGGGCCGGGCCGGGTGTGCTGACCAAGACGTTCTCTCTCTGGCCCCCACGGCTCGTGGGACATCTCTGGGAGGGGCTTGCACCTGGCTCAGAGCAGCCCAGGCCGTCTGTCCTCCCTAGCCGTGCGGTGCGTGCTGGGGAACTGCCCCGGAGGGTGCTGGGAACTGCCCTGGAGCCTGCTGGGAAACTGTCCTGGTGGATGCTGGGAAGCTCTCCTGGTGGATGCTGGGAAGCTCTCCTGGTGGATGCTGGGAAACCGCCCTGGTGGATGTTGGGAAACTCTCTGATGGGTGCTGGGAAACTGCCCTGGTGGGTAATGGGAAGCTCCCCTGGTGGATGCTGGGAAACCGCCCTGGTGGATGCTGGGAGACCCTCCCTGTGCAGGATTATGGGAAATGCCTCGTGACAAAAGACCGAAGTGTGAAGAGTAGATTGCATCCTTTTCTCTTTAGCAGTTCCTACAAATGGCGCAGTTGTAGCTTCTTTCATGTCACTGTGCCTCTGTCATTAACTCTTTCAGTAGGTGATTTGTTTGGGCCTGCGATGAGGTCAAGAGGGTAACCCCCAGTATCTTACTGTTTCTGGGATATGTGTTCTGAAAAGACCCTGGTTGTTTCCTTCATGGATTTGGCGTTAGTGATGCTACCCGAGGTCTGCTCAGCTATCTCTCCACACACAATAAACACAGTTCGGGTGTATATGAGGGGCACTTCGTATTAGTCACATGAGTTATCCGGAATATGTTCATTACTAACATCATCATTAGCTGCCCTAACAAATAGCTCTGCAGGAATTATTGGTCACCTTTGCTTTCTCTGGCAACTGAGATCAGAAGGGCTTATTCCCCCCATGACAGGCTGGGAAACTGAGACTCCAGGGCAAGTGAATTGTCTGTGATCCCCAAAGACAGTAAATTGTGGAAACTCAGTAAATTGTGGAACTAGAACTTGGATCTTTGGGCTATAGAAGGTGAATGACGTTCTCACTTAACAGTAATGGCTTTAGAGCCTGTTTCCCCTTCAGTTAGATGAGTGATTGTTAACAGTATTAGATTTGAAGATATGAAACAATCCTATTACTATTATATTGAGGGTATTAAGCCTCAATAGCAACTAAGGAGTGTGTGACGATATCTAGATTTAAGATAAAATAGTTACATAGTTCACAAAACTATATTATTGGATATACAAAGAAGTAATGACCAAACCATATGTAAAAAGATAAATCTGGGGGCCAAAGACAATTCAGGGGTTGAGGTACTCGCCTTGCATTTGGCTGACCCGTCTGATCCCTAGAACCACACAGAGTCGCCTGAGCTCCCCCAAGAGGGAGACCTGAGTACAGAGCTGGGAGTAAGTCCCGAACACTGGGTGTGCCCTATAATGCCCCCACCCGCACCCCACACAGACCGGACTCTGACTCATAACTTCCAGGAGGCAGTCCAGGAAACCAGGCGCTATCTGCAGTAGCCAGTCCAGGAGCCGGCCACGGGTGGCCGTCAGCTATCGGTACCGGCCACTCCAGGAACAAACGAGCCCTCGACAGCTGGGCCAACTGTAACAGGCCGAGTCTCATCATCCAGAGTAACCGGGACCAGCCAGCCAAGGCTGCGTTGGGGCCCTATCCAGCCAAGTAGGACGCCCTGTTCCTGGTTAGTCACTGGCCGCTGTCCTGTGCCAGTGGCCTGCCATAGCAAGGGACCCCTGGGCACCTTCTTCACGCCCTTCTGCGGTCGACGGTTGCTTCCCCTCTGGCTGCCTTGGAGTCCCTGCCAGAAGCAAGTAAAGGCACATGAGTCCCTTGCTGATAGTTCTGAGCAAACTCTTGGCTAGTCTGGCTTAGAGGCTCCTCCTTACTTTCCCCACACAACAGGGCTCTGCTTTATGCAAAACTAACTGAGGGAGGAAAAGCCCATCTGTGTTTCCATCCTGCCTGGCCTGTCTGAGCTCCTACTAGGTGCAAAACCCTTTCTCAGGTGCAGTGGGAAGACTTAAGATGGGGGGGGGGTCTTAAGACAGTGGCCCCTGAAACCAGGAAGCACCCCAGGGCACAATGGTATGAGATAAACATTCACACCTGATAAAAATGGCTCTAGTTCAGTGGGAGTTAGGCTCATCTAGCTGCAAAGGGCAGGAAGGACGTGTAGGATACTGGGAGAGTTGGCCTGAGACAGTGCAGCTGATCCGCACTGACCCACACGCTGCTTACACTTGAAACACAGTGTGGGTGAGCCTGCTGACAACCCCCCTGCTTACACTTTACACTGCAGCAACGCCAGCCCTTTAGGTGGATGGCAATGGTGTTGGATGACAGATCACAGACAGATGCAGTGCCTCCTCCCTCCCAGATGCTTTTATCAGGACTCTGCAACTTTTCCTGGAAGTGCCTCTTCAGCCAGTCTCTGGAAACTAGCTTTGTGTCCAGAGCAGTGCTAGAGAGTGGGTCTGGTCAGGCTCAGGCGTCTCTCTTGGTGCCTTGGGGAAAGACCTACAGTTTGATTTTGGTTGAAGCCTGTAGTGGATCTTGGGAGGGTGAGAAGGGCAGTGAGCAGATGATAGACTGAGAGGGTTTTCTCTAAGACTGGGGTCAGAGTGGGGAGAGCCGGAGCTCAGAGTGGCCACGTTAGAAGTGATTGCTAGAGTTAACAGGGAGGTAGAAAGCCTTCTCTGAAGTGCCGACAGGGGTGTCCCCCGAGGCAGCCAGGAGGAGGGCCCATACAAGAGGGAGTGTGAGTGTGTCTGAGCAGCTGGCAGGTGGTGAGGGGTACGGTGAGGCTGGACTCACGTGCAGGGTCCAGGAGGGACGTGCTTGGGGGCAAACGTTTACTAGGTCAGGAGATCTCTAGAAACAGGAGAACAGATCTGGGCAGACTCATCTCTGCGGACTGGAAGGCACAGAGAGGTGAGGAATAGAGGTGCGTGTGTGTTGGGGTGTGGTCACAGGGGCCTGAGTGCTGGCCCCAGGCCCCGCTGGACCCTTCCTCTTAAGAGCCCCACGAGGGGGAATCTTTGGCAGCATCGTCAGAAACCAGAGCCTGGATCCCTGGGCTCTCTGGGCCCTCGCGCTTTCCGCCGGAATTTGGCTGGGACGCCCATCTGGTTGCTATGACAGCACCGGGGCTCCCCTTTCTCCCTCCGCCCCGCCTACCCCCGAGCAGACCACGCACCTCGCGCGTCCCGGTCGGCAATTGGTGGGTGCCTTCCGCGGCTGCTAGCGTCCGGCCAATGACTTCCCCGCCTAAGTATTCAGACCCGCCCTTCCCGCTATAGACACGCCCCCTCCCCGAGTTCTCCCTGATGATTGGTGAATTCTCCCGGAGGGAGGCGGAGCTTTCGGCGTCTCCGTGGCGACGGCGGACGCGGCGCTGCGGGCTGTGGTTAGCAGCGGTCCAGAGAGGGCGCAGGACACGGCGGAGCCATGTCGGACCTGGGGTCAGAGGAGCTGGAGGAGGAGGGCGAGAATGACCTCGGGGTGAGGGGCGCAGGCTGCGGGGAGGGGCGTGCGGGCCGTCCGGATCCCAGGACGTGGAGGACCCGGGAGGAAGCAGTTCCAGAAACGGCCGGGCCGCCGCGAACAGATCAATTCTCTCATTATTATCATTAGATTTGATTAGGGGGGCTGCAGCCCGTGGCGCTCAGGAATCACCGCTGGAGGGCTCGGGGGACCCTGTGCAGTGCCAGGGGTTGAGCCCAGGTCTGCCGCGTGCAAGGCAAGTGCCCTGCCCGCTGTGCTCTGGCTCCAGCTTCAAGCTCCACACCTTTTTACAGCCCATATTTATTTTTTTTTTTAGTTTCAAACTACAATTGTGTTCTCTTCAGCCACCCCAGAAGCTTGGCTTGAGGTGTCCTGTGAAGTCCTGGGGTCTTGTGGCGGAAGGATTTTCCTGCACTTTGATATCGCCCACCCCTGAAACGTGTCAAAGTCACTGACAGTTTTTAAACTTCAGGCATCATGGTTACATTCCTGCTTGTCACAGGGCTGCATGCATACAGTGTTCCAACAGCGCACCTCCCTCTCCTCCACCTCTGTCTTCACGCCCCCCACCCCCTTCCCACCCTGTGGTAACCCAGTTCTGTAGAGCAGGCTCGGTTTGTATTGCTTTGGACACGTTGTTTCCTAGCTGGACTCTGTTCCGAATATGGGCGAGGCTGTTCTCCGTCTCTCCCTTCCTCTGGCCGACCGGCACGCTGCTCTCTAGTCCTCCCTATAGTGACATTCCTCATCCCCCCTTCACGATATATTTTAGGCAAGGGTTTCAGAGCCAGTCTTCCAGGAAGGTGTAGGGCTGCACTGTGTGTGTGTGTGTGTGTGTGTGTGTGTGTGTGTGTATGTGTGTAGCTCTCGATTGAGTCTCAACTGGCATTGTTACGAGGCCTGCAGAAGAGCCTCTGTGGTGTGAGGGTGTGAGGGTCTGCGTAAGGTCCCGCCTGGCAGGGCCCAAGAGCCTCCGGTTGTAGCTATGATGCTCTAAGCACTGCTGGGTGTGCCCTCCACAAGGCCATGTTTCCTGGGGGCTGGGGCTCCTGCAGGGTCTCGAGGACTTGGGGGCGAGAGGCGAGTACTTACGAGGTGCATCCTGGTACTCTTGGCTCGTTCCTCCCTCACAGGAATACGAGGGGGCTCGGAACGAGAGCGGGGAGCGGCACGGGCACGGGAAGGCACGGCTGCCCAATGGCGACACCTATGAGGGGAGCTACGAATTCGGCAAAAGACACGGCCAGGTCAGAGCCTCACGAGGGCTGGAAGACCACCCTCTCACCCCTTGTGGGAACTCCGGAAGCGGGTGATGTGGAGACACTGCCGTCTCTGTTCCAGGGTGTCTACAAGTTCAAGAACGGGGCCCGCTACGTCGGGGAATATTTCAATAATCAGAAGCACGGCCAGGGCACGTTCTACTACCCAGACGGGTCTCGGTATGAAGGTGAGACACCCCCAGAGGCGGGCACAGAGGTGGGGGTCCGTGGGTTCTGAGGGCAGTGGGGGAGGCGGGGAAACCCTGGGCCCAGCCAGGCTGCCCGCTGGGGAGGGGCCGCACCCTGAGCTCACAGCCTCCCGCCCGCCGGGGTGGCAGGCAGGACACGACTTGCAGAAACCTCTGGAAGGCGAGTGGCCTGCAGAAACAGAGAGGACCCCCCCCTGCTGCCCCATGTCTATTTCCCCAAGGTGAAACCCACCCGCATTCAGCCCGTTCCGGGGTGGCCCTGTGACTGGGGGGCCCCAGCGCCATGGTCCAGGATGGCCGTTTGTCTCCCCCTTGGGTTTGGGGGTGCAGGTAGACCGTGTTGCTGCTACAGGCACCAGGAGAGGAGTCTGGTGTCAGCTCGGAGGGTCCCTTCCCTGCTGGGCTGGTGTGGGTGGGGAGCCGGGACCCTTTCCTGCAGTGGGGACACATGCAGTCCCGCTTGCCCGTTGTTGACTCTGCCTCTGCAGAGGGTCTTTTTTTAAAAAAAAAAACAAATGACGTTGATTTGATTGCAGAAGTGCGGCTTACTAAGCCACTGGTACTTGAGTTTAGGCAGATATTTCTACCGGGGTCGGTTGCGCCACCAGTGTCAGCTTCCCTGGGGCCAGCCTCCAGGCCAGCCTGCTGGGCGCCTGGCTCAGTGACTGCCAGCACCCCTGCTTCAGTGTGAGGTTGTGCCTGTGTCCACGGTCTGGCCACTCCCCCGTTGTCACATGTGTGACGAAGCCCCGCCCTGGGCCCACTCCTCCCCTCCCTCATTTCTTTCCCCCTTGATTTCTTTTTTCTTTTGTTTTGCTTTTTGGGGTCCCAACCTGGCGATGCTCAGGGGTTCCTCTTGGCTCTGCACCCAGGAGTTACTCCTGGCAGTGCTTGGGGGACCATGTGGGATGCTGGAAATTGAACCCCGGTTGGCTGCGTGCAAGGCAAACACCCTCCCTGCTGTGCCCTGCCTTGATTTCTTTTCCTTTCTGTCTTTCTGTCTGTCCTTCTCTCTGGACACTGGGCCGGGTGACCTGGGCCTTCCCTCCCTGACGCACGTCCCCGCCCAGACGCAAGCTGGCTGTGTGCCTTCGCCTGGCTTCCTTTCCTCACCACGCAGCTTAGCTTGGTGTCACCATCCTTGCAGCTGTGTCATGTCCCGCAGGCAGCAGCTATTCTCCGTAGTCCGTCTGGATGGCGCCTGGGGCGGCTCTGTGTCTCAGCTAGGGGTGCAGTCGGGAATCAGGCTGTGACTGTTCTTTGGAATGAATGTTCTTGCATCCCACAGGGGGTTTACCTTAAATAGCCTTTGACTGGCGCCCTAGTGACGGTGGAGGCTGGGGCAGACAGGCGGGGGTGGGGGCGCCCACAGACTCCCGGCTGCACATGGATGAGCCCTGAAGCCGCCATGCCAAAGAGCTGAGACAGGGTCTGGGGAGCTGGGCTGGGTCGGCAGGACCCGTCCTGGTTTGACCCGCGACACCCCCGAGGGCCCCTGTGAGCCCACAGCACGGTTGGGGGACCCAGGGGAGCCCTGCATGGGGGGGTGGGGGGCTGGGTGCAGCTTCAGGTTCCTGCCGGCTGGTTGGGAATCGCCAGGAGACAGCCGGCCTCTGAGTGCCACCGGGAGCCCAGCCAAGGATGAAATGGAGAGGTGGGGGGGGGGGGGCGGGGACTAGAAAAGCGGTGGGGGGGGCTGGTCACAACGGGCAGGGGCCCAGACAGCCCCCGTGGCTGCCCCAGGCCCGCCTGCCTCTCCTCCACTCTCCCCTTGACTCGGGCGCTCTGTCCCAGGGGAGTGGGCCAATGACCTGCGGCACGGGCACGGTGTGTACTACTATGTCAACAACGACACGTACACGGGCGAGTGGTTCAACCACCAGAGGTGCGTCCCTGCGCTGCCCCAGTCATGAGGGTTGGGTGCTGCCCCTGGTTACGTGGGTTGGGCGCTGCCCCCGACACTGCGAAGCCCCCACCCCAGACCCTCCGGCATCCCCATGCTCAGGGCCTGCCTGGGAGGTGCCCTTTCCCCCGGATGTGGAGACCCTGCAGAGGCTGTGGGTGTAGCTGGCTCCCTTCGCCTGGCAGGCACGGGCAGGGCACCTACTACTACGCCGAGACGGGCAGCAAGTACGTGGGCACCTGGGTGCGTGGGCAGCAGGAGGGAGCCGCCGAGCTCATCCACCTCAACCACAGATACCAGGGCAAGTTCCTGAACAAGAACGTGAGTGCCCGGGGGCTACGTGGATGGGAGGGGCCCCCGCTGAGGGCGGCCTCCGTGGTGATGGGGTTGGGGGCTCCAAGCGAGTGGGGTGCTGAACCCCTAGCTATGATCAGAGTGGGCGACACGCTCTCTGAGGTAGGGGTTCCTGGGGGTGGACTTAGAGGGTGCAGCCCCCTCCCTGGGGTTCGGGCTCCGGCCCAGACCCCCCTGCCACCTCCCTCACTCGAGTCTAGGCACCGGGTCACCCTGCAGCACTCACGGAGGCTCTCGTGCTGGTGATGGCGCAGAAGAGCGGGAAAGAGCCACAGAGTGCCAGGAATGCAGTGTGGATGGGGCAGGCACGCTCTGGGAGGGGAGCAGGGAGCACTGCCAATGGAGCACTCAGTCCAGGGAGAGTTCCTGCTCCCTGGGCTTTTGGCACTTGCTGGACTGTCTGCCCACCTTCCTCCTGCCCAGCCTGTGCCCGCCCTGCCCTCTGCCTCTTCCCCTGTAGGGTGTCCTTCCATGGACCCTCTGCACCTGTGTGTGTGCACATGCCTGCATGCTCATGTACGCACACACGACACACATGTGCCTGCACTCATGTGCATCCACACACACAATGTTTACGTGCTCGTGCACACCGGATACACACACACGCAGCACACGCTGTCCTCGGGCACGCCCACTCCTGCATGCCCTACACACGTGCTCACAATGCTGCTTTTGGTTGGTTTGTTTTTAAATTACATCCGGAAGTACTCAGGGATGACTCCTGGCTCAGTGCTCAGGGATTCCTCCTGGCATGCTCAGGGGCGCAGGTGAGGTGCCAGGGAGCAAACCTGGACCTGCTGCATTCAAGGCAGACGCCTTCCCCACTGTCCTGCCACTCCAGTGCCCAGTCTTCTACCCTCTGGGCACGTCAGAGTTTTTAACAGCATCAGCTCCGGGCACTGCCACATCTGTGAGTGTTCGTGTCGTTGGCTGCGAGGCTGGTTGACTGTGTTGGTGGCTGTGAGTGTGTTGGTGATTATTGTTGAGTGTGAGTGTTGTGTCGTTGACCATGAGTGTATAGTTGACCATGAGTGTGTTGTTGACTGCAGGTGTGTGTTGACTGTGGGTGTTGTGGTTTTTTTTTTTCCCAAGGGTTTAAGCAAACTTTATTTTTCATAAAGACCAGTTTGCGCTTGTTGATTACATAGTCGTTTTTTGGTTTTGGGCCACACCCAGTGTTGGTCTGGGAATTGCTCCCCACAGTGCTTGTACACCAACCCATTGAGTTATCTCTCAGCCCCGAGTGTTGTGTTTTTGACTGAGTGTGTTGTTGTTGTGAATGTGTTGCTGATTGCGAGTGTCTTGTTGACTGTGAGTCTGTTGTTGACTGTTGTTGTTATATGTGATTGTTGAGCTCTTGTGAGTGTGTTGTTGGCTGCGAGTGTTATGTTGTTTGTGCAGGTGTTGCGTTGTTGGCCTTGTGCTGTTGCTCTTGCCCATTGCTGGGGTGTCAGAGCGGGCTGTGGCTGTCCTCAGACCCACAGCTCCTCGTGGCTCTCCCACGCGAGCGCCGTTGCTCTCCCGTGGGCTCTCTGCCCTCACGAGCATCCCTGCCTGCGGGGGCCGTGTCTTCAGGTGCTGCTGCGTACCCCTGGCTAGTTCTCGGCTCCAAAGAAACCGGTTTCACGTCATTGCTGCTAAGTTTCCAGCACCCGCTGATGCTTCTGTAATGGAAAAACTGCGAGGCTGAGCTGGCGGGCGCACTCGTGAGGGCAGAGGCCCCGGCACAGGAAGTCATTCATCTCCCCACAGGAAGAGGAAACGCGGGCAGAGACCAGAGAGCAGCAGGGGTGCGGGGAAGCAGCTTGAGAACCTGCCTGGAGCAGGGAGGGGGGAGAAAACCCCAGTTTGTCTGTGGCCTGGAAGGAGACGGTGTGGGGCGGACTTTAAGGCGAGCAGGGGCTGCAGCGCTGGTGCGGTGGGCGGGGTGCTGGCCCCACACGGGGCTGGCCCAGCTTCCACCCCCATCCCACGAGGCTGCCCAAGCCTGCCAGGAGTCGTTTCCAAGGGCAGAGACAGGGGTGACCCCTGGGCACAGCCAGGTGTGACCCCAAACGAAAACCAAGACAAAAAAACCAAACACAAAACAAACCACAAGTGAGAGAGGCAGAGAGAGGCGAAGGGCGAGTCTGTATTCGTGGGCCATGAGGGGACAGGACCTTTACCGCAGCGAAGGGAAGGCCAGCAGACTCAGTGTGAGCAGAATTGTCCCTAGAAGTTAGAAAACACCCTAAAAAAAATCGAAGAGCTGTTTGGTGAATGAGGTCCACGCTCCACATTATAGATGGCGCTTCCACCAGCCACTGTGATTCACAGGTGCCAAATGCCCAGCCAGGGGGCTGAGAACATGTGTGGAGCACACGGCTGTCAGGTCACAGTGACATCACAGTGTGTGTGTGCATGTGCGTGTGTGTGCATGTGCACACTTGTGCCTCTGTGCATGTGCGTGTGTGCATGTGTATGCATTGTGTGTGTATGCACATGTGTCCAGCTATGCATGTGTGTATATGCATATGTGTGCACGTGTGTGCATGTGCCTGCAGATGCACATGTTCATGCACGTGTGCACGCATATATGTGCACATATGCATGTCTGCACATGTGTGCATGTCTGCACATGTGTGCATGTCTGCACATGTGTGCATGTCTGCACATGCATGTGTGTGTGTGTGCATGTCCATGTCTGCGTGTGTGTGAGTGTGTACATGTATGTGCATGTGCCCGTTGATACCTCTATGTGCATGCGTGTTTGCGCATGCTTGTTGGTGCTTATGTGTGTCTGTGTGTGCATGTGCGAGCATGTATCTGTTGGTGCCCATGTGTGTGCATGCGTGTGCTTGGGGTGAATCGAGGCCCATCACCTCCCTCGTGCCAGGGTGCCCCTTCCTTCTGACCCACATCTCTGCCTGGAAACAGATTATTGAGGCACAGAAATGCCTCAAAGAAATCTGTTTAGTTCTGAAAAATGACTGCTGCCTCCTCGTGATTTAAAGACCTAACTCTGGGCCGTAGAGATGGCCCAGGGGTTCAGGTGCTTGCATGCACACACCAGACCTCCCTCCATCCCGGCACTGCACGGGCTCTTCTGAGCCCACAGGAATGATCCCTGAGCACAGAGCCAGGAGTCAGTGCTCAGCACAGCTGGGTGTGGCCCCCAAGCAAAACCCAAACAAACACCCGCCTCCTTGTGGACACTGGCCGAGACTTGCTCTCCCCTTAGACACAGCCTGGATGAGCGGCTTGGTGTTCAGGGAACCCCAACTCTAGTCAGACACTGTTTTATTCTGTCCGAGACTCCGGCTCCACCCGGTCCCTTCTGGGGGCACCTCCCCACCCCCTGCTCTGGAGCGACGTAGAGCAGCTCTGCGCTGACCCCGGGGTCCGGCTGTCCTGAGGGGCCCCGAGGAATTCCGTCTCCTCCTGGCCCTCAGTGTCCCTTTGCCCCACACAGCCCGTGGGACCAGGGAAGTATGTGTTTGACATTGGCTGTGAGCAGCACGGCGAGTACCGCCTGGCGGACACGGTGAGTGGGCCGGCGGGAGGGGGCTGGGGGCTGCATGCGGGGCCTGAGGGCAGCAGGGGCCTTGCCGAGCTCTAGCGTGGGTGGTGGGGGCCCGCCTGCGTATGGCCTCCTGTCGGGTCTCCTGAACCCAGAGCCAGGCGCCGGGTATGGCCCCCAAAGCAGCTGGAGGCTTCAGATGCTGGAAATGGCAAGAGGCCTTGGTGACCCCTGCATGGGCCTGACTGGCTCCTTCGGCTGCATAAAGCTTCGCTCTACTTTAAAGCCCCGAAATTGGGCTCCAGGCCTGTCGGGGCTGCTCCGGAGATGCCTGAGAGGCCGGGGCGCTTGGGCCAGCGGGAGCCCAGGTGTGGGGCCATGGGGCCAGAACGTGAAAAGCCTTGGGACGCAGCTCTGTGTGTGTGTGTGAGTGTGTGAGTGTGTGTGTGAGTGTGTGTATGAGTTTGTGAGTGTGTATGTATGAATGAGTGTGTGTGGTGTGTGAGTTTGTGTGAGTATGCGTGTGAGTGTGTGTTAGTGTGTGAATGTTTGTTAGTGTGAGTGTGTGTGGGTGAATGGGTGTCTGTATGTTTGAGTGTGTGTGTATGTGTGTGTGAGTGTCTGAGTGTGTCTGTGTGTATGTTTGAGTGTATGTGTGAGTGTGTGTGTGTGTTGGGGGCTGGGTGTGTGTGCCTCAGAGCGGGGAGGCCCGTCACCTGCCTGCCCACTGGCTTGGCTGCCGGAGCCGCAGACCCTTGGTTTGCAGGTGGGTCTGACGCAGGCTGATAAACTGAGGCCCGTACGGGGATAGGACAGAGGAGAAGAGGAGGAGGAGGAGGAGGCGCTGGTGACGCTGGTCCCAAAGTGGAAGGCGACCAAGATCACGGAGCTGGCCCTGTGGACGCCAACGCTGCCTGAGGAGAAGCCGTCCGCAGAGAAGAGCGGCCAGGAAGAGGCGGTGCCTGAGGGTAGGGGCCGTGGGGTTCCCCGAGGGTTCGGGGCTGAGCACAGGCCTGCTGGGGGGAGTGGACGTTGGACCTCTGGGCCCCTGACAGCTGTCATGGGACAGAGCCTTGGTGGAGCCTCCTCGGGAGGAACCAGGGGACACAGTGCCGCCCCTGCGACAGCCCCGGCTGATTCCACGGTCACCCAAGGCAGTGTCCTGGTGTCCCTGGTGGCTGGTGGTGCCCTGGTTAGGGCAGCAGCTGGGGGCCACGTGCTTCCCTGCGGGTCGGGTGGCAGAGACCGTGCCCACGACAGCTGCTTCCTGAGGAGTAGCCAAGTGCCCAGGAGTTGAGGAAAAGGTCCTGCCCTGGTTGCAGGGGTGTGAGACAGACGAAAGCAACCCAGACTGGCCACAGAGCCAACCTTTGACCTCCTTTGCACACACCAGGGATGAGGGGCAACTTCAGGCTCAGCTGTATCAGGCTGCTCTCCCGGGCGCAGCTGTGCGGGGTTTCCCTCTGGACACCAGTGCTCCCGTCAGGAGGCCCCAGGACCCGGGGGAGGGAGGCAGCATCCCTGAGGGGACACAGGTGCTGCAGCTCCGGAGAGGCCCCCCACCCTTGCCGTGCACCTTGCAGGGGGAGCAGAGGCTGTCGAGGCCATGACTGACTTTTCCGACGAGATGGAGACAGACTTCAAGATCGGCGAGGAGGAGGAGACCCGGGATTATGAAGTCCAGGACGAGTTTCGGCCCAATGACCTGGACCTCGGTATGGCTGGGGCGGGGCTGGCCCTGAGAAACTGCATGGTGGAGGGGGGGACGAGGGGCAGAGGGCCGGGAGTCAGGAGCAAGGGGATGGGGCAGATGGGAGCTGACCACGGTGGCCTCTGGCCTTCAGGGGTCTGGTGGGCGCAGGCAGAGCCTCAGCCAGTGCCCGCTGTCCCTGCTGGGGATGACCCCCCGACACGGGCATGCTCTGTGCCTGAGCCGCCAAGGGTCTGCATGACCAAGGCTGGCAGGAATGGCGCTTTACCTGCTGCTGGCCAGCTGGCCCACACAGACAGGCGTCCATGGGCTCTCCCTCCCCCAGGAAATGCTGCTGTTGACGAGGATGAGGCCCGGCAGGCAGAGGTGGGGGACTGAGTGGAGCTGGATGGTGAGGACGCACCCCTCAGAGCTGGTCAGGGCCAGGCAGGGCCGGGCAGGGCTGGGCATGGCTCCAGCCCCGACAGCGGGTGCTTCGGGCCGCTTGCACACCGCACAGTCTTGGGAATAAAGGCGACCTGCCAACTGTCACAGCCTGACGTTTGTGCATATGTAACTGCAGGCATGTTCGTGTATGTGGGTGCATGCGTGTTTATGCATGTGCAAGCGTATGCACGCACACGTGTGCGTGTGCAAGTGTGTGCACACATGTGTTCATGCACTGTGTATGTGTCACGTGTTTGCATGTGTGCCTGGGTGTCTATGCTTGTGCCTGTGTGTACATTCATGCATACGTGCATGTGAATGTGTGTGCACGTGTGTTCATGCATTGCATGTGTGCATGTGAATGTGTGTGCAGCTCACACATGTGTGCCTGCGTGTATTCATGCATGTGTGTGGTGTATTCATGTGCATGTGTGTTAGAGCATGCATGCATGTGTATGTGTGTGTGTGCATGTGTGTGTGCAAGCACAGCCTGTGGATGCCACAGCCCATGAGGCCGGTAACAGAAACGGCTCCTGAAGTTACTGCCCGCCATGCCCACGTGACCGCCTTCTCCTCAGTTCCGCTGTTTGTGAGCAGAGCCTGGACATGCCCAAGTGGCCTGCGGTCCGCCTGTCACTGAGGGGTCTTGAGGCTTCAGGGGCCCCCTGAATTCTCCCGGCTGTGTGCCAGGCAGTGGTGAGGGCGCACGGTGGCTCCCGGTGGGGTATCAGTCCCAGGGGTGCGCGGCTTATAGATGTGGAGACCGCTGGTGTGAAGCAGGCCACGTGCGGCGCTGGGACTGTGGCCAGAAGGCTGGCACGTGGGTGGGGGTGCAAGATTTCTCCCATCCGCCAGGCCTGCAGGAGAGGTGAGTGTCCTCACCACCCCAGGGGCCTGCCCGTTGGTGGTCCCGCCTTGCTGAGCCCCGTGGGCCAGGCGTGAGTGCCAGGGGGGATTGAGCCCGGCCCAGGCAGCCCACAGGGCTGGATGCGCCCAGCATGGAGTCAGGGGCCTGACTGGCACGGGAGGGGCTTTAATCCCGGATGCACGGGACCCCACCCCTCGGACCACATGCGGACACAGGGCCCCGGCGGGCAGCTTTCGTCAGGACGGCCGCGGGGCTGCGGCTCCGTCTAGGTGCCCAGGACCCAGTTCCTCCAGCTGAAGGGTGAGTTGGCGCCGTGGGTGAGCGTCTTCACGGGTGGAGGCCGCAGCTGCCATGTCCCTGTCTCGCCGTCCTCCTCACAGAAGCACATGCCCAGGGCCGGGATCTGGGGCAGAGAGCTGGTCACTCCTGCTGCCTGTCCCACCTTGGCCTGCCCTTCCCAGCCTGCCTGGTCTCGCCTCCAACCCCCCACCCCTGCCAGTGCGGGCCCCAGGCGCACCTATGGGGACCATCCACACCAGGCAGCCCCCAGAAAAGCTGCCTGGAGGGACCCCCGGAGAAGCGGCAGTGATGACGGGGAGAGCCAGGACTGCCTGGGGCAGCTCTCCGCCCTGCACCTCTGCGCCCCCCCCCCCCCACTGTCCCCCACTGCTGGCCCCGGCAGCCTGCTCAGGGTGAGACCTGCCCACTGCATGCTCAACCCCTGACAACAAGCAGAAGCCAACGGGAGCAGAGGGTCCGGCAGGCCTGGCCATGCACACAGCTGGCCTCGCTCCATCCCGGCACCCCACAGAGCGACCCTGAGCACAGAGCCAGGTGTCAGCCCTGGGTCCCCCTCAGGCCCCCACTCCCATCCCAGCACGCTGGAGAGGGATCCGGGGGATGGTGTAGGAAGGAGACCCACCCCTCCCCACCATGCTGGGGCTGCTGAAGCCCCTCAGGGTCGGCCTGGCTTCCCCCAGCACCACAAGGAGTGGCGCCTGAGTACAGAGCAGTAGCTCCAAGCCTGCCGGTGCGGTCAGAGCCCTCACTCCTGAGTTCCCTCCTGCTAAGAGGGGTCTGATGGGCGGGTGGCCCCGGGAATGCCATGCCCCTGTTTCAAAGGGCAACCTGTTTGGACAAGCCCCTGGCCCAATGTCTGTTCTGTGAGGTTACTGCAGTCTGTCTACCCAAGCGCCAGTTCCTGATTGTCACAGGAGCGCAGATGCCCAGGGCTGCTGTGTGTGTGTGCATGTGTGTGTGCCTATGCATGCGTGTGTGCATCTGTGTGCGCGCATGTGTGTGAGTGTGTGCGTGCACATATGTATGTATGTGTGTGAGTGCATGTGTGTATGTGTGTGCGTGTGTATCTGTGTGTGTGTGTGTGTGCGGGTGCGTGCGTGTGTGTGGCATCCAGGACGGGGTGGCCGGGACAGGGTCCCCAGGGCACATAGATTACTGTCTTTGTTCTGTTTTGGGGCCACACCCGACGGTGCTCAGGGCCTTCTCCTGGCTCTGGTGGGCTCAGGTGGCCCATGGGGGCGTCCGTGGGCAGGCCAGCCCCTCCCCTCTGCCGTCTGGTGTGTCTGGAGGGCCCCAGGGCGCTGGGCAGGGAATGGTGGACAGCGCTCCTCATGGAGGGGTCGGGAGCCGCTGCCCGGGGCTGTCCTCTGGGCCTCAGCGCCTGGGGCCTGGGGGTGCCATGCTGTCCACTCTTGCATGAGCAGCCGCGGGCAGCAGGCAGGCCCTGATGGGGGGCCAGGTGCTGTCATACTGCAGCCCTTAGCATCGGCTCAGTGAGTTTCCGGGAGAGCGGGTGTGTCGGGCCTGTCGGGAGTGGACCCAGGAGTGGGCGGGGTGGGCCCTGGCCTGCGAGGTCAGTGTGCCCGTGCATCCTGGGGCTGAACGGCCCCTTCCCGTGCTCATCCCGCCTGGGGATCCGGAGCCAGAGGCCAGCCGGACCTTCCCGCGGCCTCTGCAGAGCGCGTGGGAGTGTGGGAGAGGCCCTGACTAGGGCCCTGTCTTGTCCCTCGGGGTGGGCCCCCCGGAGGCCTGGTGCCAGGGAGGGTCCCGACACAGGCCTGTGCTTCTGGCTAAGCAGGGGCAGCCGGCACGGACCTTCCTCACCAGCTGTCCGAAGTCTGCGCAGTCCCGGGGCGGCAGCCGCAGGAGCGGGCGCGTGCAGGAGTCCAGAGCCGAGCCGTGGGCCACCACCAGGATGACGCCAGCTGCGGGAACAGCGCAGGGCCTGGTCAGGACAGGCAGAGGCGCCCCCCACGGGCCTGTAGGGCGGCGTCTAGCTGAGTTCTAGACCCTTCCCTGGGGCTCGGCATTTTTCTAGAAGCAGAAACTCCTCCAGCTTGTTTGTTTGGGGCCACACCTGGTGGTGCTCAGGGCTTTCTCCTGAACCCAGGGCTCTGCACTCAGGGATCATTCCTGGCAGTGCTTGGGGATGCCGGGGAGGCCCCTGGGCTGGCTGTGCAAGGCCAACGCTCTGGCCTCTGTGCTGGCGCTCTGGCCCAGAAGCACTTGCCTCCTTATCACGAGGTGGGACAGGTGTTTGCTCAGCCTGCCACTCTCTTTGCGGGGTGCGTCCTGGTCTTGCAGGGCTGGGGGCTCAGCTCCCTCTTTGCTGCCCCAGGCGGGACCCCCGCACCCCAGAGCCCCTTCCTCCCGCAGGAAGGTGCCTCCCAGCCCCGGTTGTGCGGGACCCGCCTGAGCTCGGCCAGAGTTGCTGCGGGGGACGGCGTGCAGGGGGGGACCCGCTCTGGCATCAGAGCTGAAGGCTCACGGCCGGGCTGGGGGAGTCAAACCCTTGGGGCCCAGGGTGCCCCTCTCTGCGTGCTCACCTTCGGGGGGGCTGCAGGAGAGCGCGTGCTGCACGCTCAGCGCACACCTGCCCACGAAGTCCTCATAAGTCTCCGCCGGCAGGAGCGAGGCAAGCGGCACCGCAGGCCTGGAGGGCGGGAGGGGGTGGCGCAGTCAGCGGCCAGGGGCCTCACCCTGCAGGGGGCCCCGGGAGCAGCTGGCAACCAGCACGGCCCTCCAGGCTGCAGGGGAGCACCAGCCCCCTGCCCAGTGGAGTACCCCTGGCTCTAGCTCTGCTGCAGTTCACCCTACCCCCAAAGGGGAGGACGCCGGGAGGGCCGGTGTCCAGCCTCCTCCAGACTGCGGGGGACCCCTAGCCCCCACAGGCTCTGCCCACGGCTTCTCTTCTTTCCTGTGGGTGAGACGCTGCACCCACGCCCTACCTCAGTGTCAAGCACCCCCTGAGCCATGGACCTCACGCTCTGCCCATGGGCAGTCCCGGTTCTGCTCTCAGGGGGCTCCTGGGACACTCCTTCAGAGGGAGGGGACGGGGTTGGCCTGGCCCTGACTGAGGTCTTTGGGGCCCCGAACTTTGGGGCTTCGTGGCTCTGAGGCTGCGTCTTTGGGAACAAACCTCCCGTGGTCACATCTGGGACCGGGACTGTGGAGGCGTCCTCGGCCTGCGGAAGGTCCCCACAGGCTCCCAATGGCCCTGCCGGCGGCCTCTGGCCCAGCCCTCCCAGCCCTGCAGGTGTCGACCTGACCCACCTGTAGTCGGTGCTGACGCTCAGGCTCGCCTCCCGCAGCTCCTCTGGGGTCATGAAGCGCGGCACGGCTCTGCCCGCCTCCCACTTGGTCCATTCGAAGACCCCCGGCTCCACCTGGATCTTCATCCTCCTCTCGAGCCTGAGCTCTGGGTTTAGCGGGACCCAGCGCCCATCACTCTTGGTGTCTGCCAAGACTTACCCATCCACCCTCGTCACAAGGTGGCCATGCGGGTGGCCGGGCCAAGCCAGGGCCTTGCTCGGGACACGGGAACAATTTCCTGACTCCCTTGGGCCAGACTGGGGAGCCCCCTTCTGGAACATTCTGGACCCTTACAACTGACCCTCTCCAAGTGTTGGACCAAAAGAGGATCTGTACAGTAAGACCATCTGTTCTTGGGGGGACGGGGAGGGCCACGGCGGGCGGTATCCAGGGCTCGCTCCTGGCCCCCTGCTCGCTCCGGGCAGGGCTCCGGGACCCAATGTGATGTTGGGGATTGAACAGGGACTGGCCATCTGTAGGGTGAGTGCTGTAAGCCCTGCCCCATCGCTACCAGCCCAAGGCCGTCTCTTCAGCCTGCAGGTCTGTGGGACTCTGGGGGGGTGTTTGAGGGGACCCCGATCCTCCCCACCCCACCATGCATGGGTGAATCTTTTTCCATGTGGTCATGTGGCAACAGGCAGATCGAGAGTCCTGGCAGAGACGGTTCCCGCTGCCCTAGCCCTACTGGCGTGATGTTAGAGTTGCCTGAGGAGGACACGCTCAGAAGAGCACCAGCCCCGGCTGTTGCTGTCAGGGTCCCACCACCCCTGGTGTGGTGCTCCAGGCACAGGGAAGTGTAGTGCTCCGGGTGTGAGGCGTGGTGCCTCAGTGTGAGGTGTGGTGCTCCAGGTGTGGTGCTCCAGGTGTGAGGTGTGATGTTCCGGGTGTGAGATGAGGTGGCTCAGGTGTGAGGTGTGGTGCTCCAGGTGTGAGGTGCTCCTAGTGTGAGGTGAGATGGCCCAGGTGTGAGGTGTGGTGTCCCTGGTGTGAGGTGTGGTGCTCCAGGTGTGGTGCTCCAGGTGTGAGGGGGTGCTCCAGCCATGTGACACTGTTTCCTGGATGGAGGCTCCCCAGCAATACCCCCGGCTCCTTGTCCTGCACAGGATCGTCTGTCCCCCCCGCCCCCTCCCTTGAGCATGGCCACAGCGGTCCCTGTAGAGCGGAGGGGGCACCGGGAGCACTCCCGGCAGTCTGGGCGGGCGCTCTCCAGGGCGCAGGGAGCTTCTTCTCTGAAGAGAGGCTGGCGCCCCGGAAGTTGGGAACCTCAGTTCCTCTCTCGCCGCCCCCACCCCAGCCCCGCTCGCATCCCAGCCCCCTCCCCACCCCCTGCCCTCTGCCTGCTGCTTCTGCCCGCGGTCACTGCTGATTTCCCTGAGTGCCCGCCCGCAGCACCCCAACCCCCCAGCGGGCGCCCCGCATTCCGCTCACACAGGCCACCCCTCTACAGCAGCTCGCCCCTCACTCCCCAGGTGGGCAGGGACATGGCGGAGGAGCAGTGCCCACTTCCTGCCTCTGCAGGGGAAGGTCAGCAGGTGGCGCTGGACAGCTCCCGGAGTTGGCGTGCTGACCTGCCGTGCTGCCCATTGCCCTAGGCTGGCCGCCCCAACTCAGCACCCACCTTCGAGGATGTGCTGGGCCGTCTGCACGCAGCGCAGAGCCGGAGACGCGAAGACGGACGTGATCCGGATGCCGCTGTCCCTTAGGGCCTCCCCTGGGGAGACAGAGCAGAGGCAGTACTCTCCACACTGTGTGCCCTGCCGCCCCGGCCCCCCCCCACCCCCCACAACCCCACCCAGGCCCAGCTGTGGAGGGACCGTGCCAGACCAGGCCAGAGACCAGGTGCCGCTCTGGGGCAGCCAGCCAGGCTCAGGCCTAGGGAGGGGGACTCAGCCCCCAAAACAGGGGCCAAGTCAGGCCCGCAGCCAGGAGAGAGCCCCTCCCACAGTCAACTCTGCGTCTCGGGGGCCACACGCTCCCCTCACCCCCAAACAAGGGCCAGCTGAGTCCAGAGACACACACGGGGTTTGTGTGCAAGAGGCTTGTGCTCCATCCCCAGCACTGCTTGGAGCACCAGAGCAGTGAGCCCTGAGCACTGGGCTGGGTGTAGCCCCTGAGACTCGGTGTGGTCCCCAAGCAAAACAAAAACAAAAAACAAAAAACCAACCCAACTACCTGCCCTTGCCCCAGAAAAACAAAAACAACCAAAAAACCCCAAACAAAACCCCCGAACCCCAAACAAATCCAAAATGTAAAACCAGATGAACGCATCGAGCTCTCGCACCCGTGACGTGAAGCCGGCCCGAGCGCCAGTCTGGAATGCAGCCAGGGGATGTGGTTTTCCTGTTTCAAATGGTGCCCGCTCCCCAGCCCAGGGCGCGTCTCTTGACTTCCGCTGACGGGGCTGTGGGACCCGCCAGCCCCCTCTGCCCAGCGTATCCCCAGGGCTTGGGCTGTGTGAGCACAGCCTCTGGGGTCCTTCTGACCTGCCAGTGTCTCCCCAAAGGGGGAGACAGCCCCCCCCCCCCACGGGCGCAGGAACCGGGGGCAGTCCCAGCCCAGCGGCCCCTGGAGGCCACTTTGTTCCTCATCTTTCCCCTGCAGTGAGTTTGGGGCCGTCAGAGCTAGAACCGTCCACAACGCACCTGCCATCTGGGCCTGGAAACTCCCACAGGTGGACAAGGGGGGGTCGCTTTCAAAATCCTGGAGCCCCTTACTCCGTCTGGGGATACTTCTGGGGAAGTTGAGGTCAGGCCTGTGGTATCTCCCTGAGGGGACAGAGCAGGGTCAGGGCAGGAGGCAGCCGGACACAGTCCGTCCAGAAACCTGCCCAGAGCTAAGGGTTTTCTTTTGCTCTTGGGTTTATTGGTTTGAGGTCACACCCGGGGGTGCTTAGGGCTCACCCCTGGCAGTCCTCGGGAACCATCGGGGTGTGGGGAGAGAACCCAGACGGCCACGTGCAAGGCGAGCACGTGACCTGCCATCCTGGCACTCTGCCCCTCGCCTTAAGGGTAGAGCCGCCTTCCCCACACAGGTTGCGTGTGAGCCCCTTATGGGGTGTGGTGGTGTCCCCGTGACGAGACGTTCTCCAAGAGCGGAGAACTCGGGACTCAGCCCCCAATGGGACACTCTTGCTCCCCAAAGGCCAGGAGGCGTCAACAGACCTCCCTGAGATGCCTGACATGCGTCTCAGGCCAGAAAGTCCAAAGGTTGCCTGTGCTGCTGCTCTGTGGAGGCTCCCCCCACACACACTCACACACCTCACACACCTTCCACACATTGCACACCCACACACCTCACACATCCACACACACCTCCCACACACCTCACACACCCACACACCTCACCCACCTCACACACTCACACACACACTCCACACATCTCACACACCTCACACACATTGCACACCCCACACACCTCACATATCTTGCACACCCCTCACACCCTTAACACTCCTCACACATTCCTCACAGAGTCCTCACACACCTCACACACACATCACACATACCTCAAGCACACTTCACACCACACACACCTCACACACATTGCACACCCACACACCTCACACACACCTCACACACCCACACACCTCACACACCTCACACACCCACACACTCCACACATCTCACACACCTTACACACCCACACACCTCACACACATTTCACTCCCACACACCCACATACACCTCACATACCCACACACCTCAGACACCCACACACAACTTACACACCTCACACAACCCTCACACACATTGTACACCCCACACCCCTCACACACCTCGCACACCCCTCACACCCCTCAAATCCCTCACACATACTCACAGACACCTCATACACCTCACACATATCACACATACCTCAAACATGCCTCAAACACACTTCACACCACACACACCTCACACACATCATACATACCTCAACATATGTCACACACATCTCACACCACACACACCTACACACCTCACACCTCCCCCATACACTGCACACACATCACACACCTCACACATGCCTCACACACATCATACACCCATACACACTGCACACACCTCACACACTGACACACCCATACTCACACACTGACACACACTCATACCCTCACAAGGAAACCCTCTAGACAGCATGTAGCCTTTGTCCTTCCACTCACAAAACACTACACATCCCCATGCACATTCACACTCACAACCTCCACTCACACATATGCACACACTCATACACATTTATACTTACACAATTCACATGCACACACACTCATGCAACACACGCACTCACATGCACACACTCATACATTCACATGCACATACATATGCACTCACACACTCACACACACAGGAGCCCCAGGGACAGAGACACCACCTGGATCCACGCCCCCCTCCCGCCCACTGAGGGAAGGTGCTGGGGGCCTGGCAGGCTCTGAGGTGGCCCCCAGTGTGGCCTCATCTGGCGTCGGGCCGTCGGCGCTGCCCACCATCGGGGGTGACACACTGCTGCAACCAGGCCTTCCCGAAGATCTGGTCCACTCTCTCCCCGTGACGCACCACCAGCACGCTCCTCCTGGCCATGGCCTGCAGTGGGCAGACACAGCGCCTGAGCCCGCCCAGCCCCTGTGACCCCACTGGGCTCGAATGGGACCCTGCCTGGTTGTGCCTGGCACCCCCTCACCTGGCCCTCTGTGCCCCCAGCTCGTCCCACCCTAACCCGACCTTGTCCCCTCTTCTGGTCACTCCTGTCCTCGCCGCTTCCCCTCGGGAAGGAGCACTCTTCCGTGCCACCCTCACTCTTGGGTGGACTCAGGGGAACAGCGGGAGAGGGCGCCCTGACCCTGCTGAGGCCCAGCCTCCCCACCCGGCAAGGCCCTTCACCCCTTTCGCAGCAGCGAGCTTTGGGGTGGGTGCGGCCTGGTGCAGGGAGAGCTGCCCTCCCCCCCGCAACCCCAGAGCTTCCCCCGCCCTGAACAAGCCATTGTGTGTGGCTCCGATGTCCCAGGGCTGGCGAGGCTGCCGGGGGGCATCGCATAGCCCTCCTGAGAGAACCTCCAGGGGGCCGCCGAGTGCTGGCACCCGCCTGGATGCTGGGTTGCAGACACAGGCACTGGGCATCACCCTGAGCTGGGCCCCGAGGACCAGGGACCAGGCGGTCCGGATCTGAGTCCCCGAAGCTGCGCCCCAGAGGCTATCCTGAGGGGCTCCACCTGCCAGCTGCTGCTGCTCCCCGCGGGGCTCTCCTGGGGCTCCCCGTCCCGCCTGCTCCTGGCCTCTCCGTCCTTCCTGGAGCTGGGCTCGGGTGTGCGGCCGAAGGTGTAGGTCCTGGGAGAGAAGCGGACGAGTGAGGGGTGTGGGGGTGGGAGGGTGGGGTATAGAGGTATGGAGGTGTGGGGTATAGGTGAGGGATATGGTGTGTGTGTGAATGTGGGGTGTGGGATGCAGGGTGTGGGATGTGTGTGTGATATATGTGTGTTTGTGTCTGGGTGTATGGTATATGTGTGTGGGCGTGATATGTGGGGTGTGATGTGTGGTGTGTGTGGTGTGTGTGATGTGTGTGTGGTGTGTGTGTATGTGTGTGTGGTATGGTGTGTGTGGGGTGTGTGTAGGGTATGTGTGTGGTGTGTGTGGGGTTTTGTGGGGTATGATGTGTGTGATGTATGTATATGTTGTGTGTGTATATGGTGTGTGTATGATGTGTGTGATGTGTGTGGTGTGTGTGTGGCGTGGTATGTGTGTGGTATGTGTGTGTGGTGTGTGTGGTGTGGTATGTGTGTGGTGTGTGTGGTATGTGTGTGTGGTGTGTGTGTGGTATGTATGTGTGTGGTGTGTGTGGTGTGTGTGTGGTGTGTGTGTGGTATGTATGTGTGTGGTGTGTGGTGTGTGTGTGGTGTGTGGGCTGTGTGTGGGGGTGTGCGTGTGTGGTGTGTGTGGTGTGTGTGTGTATGTGGTGAGTGTGTGTTGGGGGGGTGTATGGTCCCAGGTGAGGGTTCGTGATGGGACGGGACAGCTGATGTGCAGGGAGGGAACTGGGTTCCCGTGCGTGCTGGTGCCGAGTGCGTGCGTAGAGGGCAGGCCATCACTGCCCCCACCCGTGGCCACAGGCCCACACTGTCTTTGTGTGCTACATCGCCCTTGGTGGCCCACCCCATGTGCTGTGAGGGGCGACTCAGCTAAGCCAGGGCACAGGGCTGTTCAGTCCCACCTGACTGGTGTCCTCACAGGCAGCCTGAGGGACAGGGAGAGACCCGGATCCACATGGACACCAATGGGCCATGCCCCATGGGGCCACGGCATCGGGAAAGAGGCCTGGGGGGGTCCCAGGCTGCTCGCCTGGAATTCACATCTCTGGACCTGAGAGCACAGAGGCTGCTGGTCCAGGTGTGGGTGTGGCGCTCACCTGTGCTTCACCCAGGTGTCGCTCTCGCTGGCCCGCTCCGTGTAGTTCTCAGGCAGGAAGCCCCGGCACCCTGTGCGGTGTGAGATCCCAATCACCCAGCCCTCGCTGGCTTCCTCCTGCCGCGTGGGGTCCACGAAGATGAGGTCTCTGGGACTGAGCGCCAGCTCATCCACGTTCTGGGGTCTGTACTGGAACAGGGCCCGAAGGGTCTGGAAGAGTCATGGTGTCATGCCTCAGCACTTGGGATAGACTTAGAAATTAGCTAGTTGTCTGTCTCTCTACCTATCCACCCACCTGCTCCTGCACCTGTCCACCCACCCACTCAGCCAGTCAGTAGCCATCTGCCCACCCACCCATTCAACCACCCAGTCAGCAGCAGCCATCTGCCCATCTACCCACTGGTCCATTGTCCTTTCACCCATCACCCATCCATCCATCCGTCCACACACAACCATCCGTCCACCCACCCATCCATCCATCCATCCATCCATCATCTCCCCACCCACCCATCCACCCACCCATCCATCCATCCATCCATCCATGCATCCATCCATCCATCCATCCGTCCACCCACCCATTCACCCATCCATCCATCCATCCATCCATCCATCCATCCATCCATCCATCCATCTACCCACCCATCCATCCATCCATCCATCCATCCATCCATCCATCCATCCATCCATTTGTTCGTCCATCCTTCCGTCCGCCCATCCATCCATCCATCTGTCCACCAATCCATCCATCCTTCCATCATCCGTCCATCCATTTGTCCATGCATGCATGCATGCATGCATCCATCCATCCATCCACCCACCCACCCGCCCATCCACCCATCCATCCGCCCATCCACCCACCCATCCGCCCATCCATCCATCCATCCATCCATCCATCCATCCATCCATCCATCCATCCATCCATCCTTCCATCCATCCTTCCACCCCGTCCATCCATTCATTCGTCCATGCATGCATCCACCCACCCATCCACCCATTCACCCATCCACCCACCCACCCGTCCATCCATCCGTCCGTCCATCCATCCACATATTCATCTGTCCATGCATGCATGCATGCATGCATGAATCCATCCATCCATCCATCCATCCATCCATCCATCCATCCATCCACCCACCTGTCCGTCCGTCCGTCCATCCATTTGTTTGTTCATGCATGCATGCATGCATCCATCCATCTATTCACCCACCCACCCATCCAACCATTCATCCATCATCCATCCATCCATCCATCCATCCATCCATCCATCCATCCATCCACTTGTCCATCCATCCATCCATCCGTCCATCCGTCCGTCCATCCGTCCATCCGTTCATCCGTCCATCCGTTCATCCGTCCATCCGTCCATCTGTCCATCCATCCATCCGTCCGTCCGTCCGTCCATCCATTTGTTCATGCATGCATGCATGCATGCATCCATCTATCCACCCACCCATCCACCCATCCATCTGTCCATCCATCCATCCATCCATCCATCCATCCATCCTTCCTTCCTTCCTTCCTTCCATCCATCCACCCACCCATCCATTCACCCACCCACCCACCCGTCTGTCCATGCATGTATGCATGCATGCATGCACGCATGCATCCATACACCCACTCATCTACCCCACCCACCCACGACCCACCCACCCATCCGTCCGTCCGTCCATCCATCCGTCCGTCCGTCCATCCATCCGTCTCTCCGTCCATCCATCCATCCATCCATCCATCCATCCATCCATCCTTCCTTCCATTCATCCATCCATCCATCCGCCCGCCCGCCCTGTCCGTCCGTCCATGCATGCATGCATGCATGCACCCACGCACGCACCCATCCATCCATCCATCCATCCATCCATCCGTCCATCCATCCACCTGTCCATCCGTCCGTCCATCCGTCCGTCCATCCGTCTGTCCACGCATCCATCTGTCTATCCATCCATCCACTTGTCCTTCCATCCGCTCATCTGTCCATCCATCAGCCATCCCTGTGTCCCCCATCTCTGTCCCCTGTCACGCCTGCTGGTGTGGCAACCATGCATCCACCGTCCATTGTGGACCTGCGGCCGTTTCCCACTCTTTCTCCTGTGCTCCTCTCTACCACCCATGAGTTCTTTGACGTCCCCTTCATGGCCTGAGGTTACTGGAAGCTTCCGCCACACCCTGGAGCATGGGCACCCCTGCACTTAGCCCCTGGGAGGAGGGGTCCCGCTGCATCTCATTTAACCGGTCATCCCGTGGCAGGGGTGCAGAGGCCCCGGGGTCTACTTGCCTGGTAGTGCACAAAGCGCATGTCCCGCGAGCAGAGCGTGGCGGCCCACTGGCAGCTGAGGTCGGGTGGCACGGCCCTGGCCATCTGCTCCAGCGTCCTCTGGTGGTGGGGGTAGAACTTGTGGGCCAGGGTCAGGTGGAGCTGCTTGGAGGAGGGCTTCACGGAGCAGTCTGCAGGCGCAGCGGGCAGTTTCAACTGCCCGCCCCGACCTGCCGCCCTCCCCGGTGGCCACGGCCAGCCGCCAGGCTCAGGGTGCCCCACCCCAGATTGACTCAAAAGGACCAGTTCTGTGAAGTCCGTTTCCAGGCTGAGGCCACTGTCCCTCAGGCCGCCCCCGAGGCTACGCCCTCTGCTCTCTCGTTTTTATTTATTCTTTTACTCTTTTGGTTCTGGGCCCATGGGGATGGGGGGAGGGGGCTGCCCCCTGGCTCTGCGCTCAGGACTCACTCCTGCTGGGCGCCAGGGATGGAGTTGAATTTGGCTGCACCCGAGACCTGTGCTCAGCCCACCGAGCTGTCCCCTTCCTGTGTCTTCCATTTTGATTTTACTTTATGTTTTGGATTTTGGAGTCACACCCAGTGATGCTCAGGGCTGACTCCTGGCTCTGTGCTCAGGGATCACTCCTGGCAGTGCTGGTGATCGAACCCGTGTCAACTGCATGTGAGCCAGTGCCCTCCCCGCTGTGCTATCTCTAGCTCTTCCCACACTTATAAACTGGGATGATTACACACCCATTCTTTTCTTTTTAGGGGCCACATGGGGTGCTCAGGATACCCCAGGTCACTCAGTGAGATACTCAGCCTGGAACACTGGGGAACTGCATGATGCCATGTCCACCTGGGGCTTGCATGCGCCCCGTGTGTGCTGAACGCTCGAAACACACTCGTGCCCTGCTCTGCTTGGGGGTTGCAGAGGCCAAGAGGTGCCTCAACAGCAAACTGTGTTGGAGCAAAGACCCCCTCACCCAACCCCCTGCCTCTCGGTGGCCAGGAGCTTGTAGGCAGAGACTCAGCATGGTAAGTTCATGGTCACCGGGCAGAGGACAGGCTGGTGGGGGGTGGCGGGCTGGGGGGTGGAGTGCAGTCCCCTGCTCCAGGGCACCGAGCACTCGAGCTTCAGAGCCGCAGGACCCCCGCTCCCTGGAGGGGTCTCCTGCTGGGTCCATGGGGGTTCTGGCTGCTGCATGGAGGACACAGTGGGCTGAGCCAGCACCCTCCCCGAGACCCCCAGCCCCCGCCTCCAGCCTGGGGCTGGCACTTGGGGAGAGGGGAATTTCCCTGATGGTGGGGTGAGTCCGGGCGTCTCCTCTTCAAGGCTGAGCCCGGAAGCCACACCCCTGGCCCCACAGTCAGCAGTGCACAGTCTGCAACCCCTGCCTCGAGGGCAGATGCGGGCAGCTGGGGTTGAGCACCCCACTGCACCCAAACACAGCTGCTGTGTCCCCCTCTTTGGGGGACTACATCCTGACTGAGGCCTGGGAACCCCAGGCATGCTGAGACCTCCTCTCAGATGGGGCTGTGGCTGGACCTCTCCACTGGGGCCCATGATCCCAGGAGATTCTGGGGACACTGGTGAAGGCTGGTGGGTAAGGGCAGGGATGGCCTTCCTAGGCCACCAGCACCTTGAGTCCATGCACAGCTCTGGCCACCCCCAATCCTCTCCCTACTGTGGTGGATTTTCCGGTGCCCTGTCCCTCCCATCCATCTCTCATGGTCCAGGGCAGCGAGCATGGCCTGGCCCCAAGGTCTAGAACCAGGCCCCAAGGTCTGGCCCCAGTGAGCATGGTCTGGCCCCAGCGAGCATGGCCTGGTCCCAAGGTCTGGCCCCAGCGAGCATGGCCTGGCCCCAAGGTCTAGAACCAGGCACACACTCTAGACCCCAAGGATACACTTTAGAACCTGGTGTTTTCTAGACCCCAAGTGCACACTCTAGAACCAGGCGCACACACTAGATTCCCAGGGACATGCCCTACATTCAGGCATACATATTAGATACCCAAGGACACTCTAGAACGAGGCACACACTCTAGAGCCCAAGGAGATTCTAGAACCAGACAAACACTCTAGATCCTCTAGGACACTCTAGAACCAGGCACATACCCTAGATCCCCAAGGATGCTCTAGAACCAGGCATACATTCTAGAGCCCCAAGGGCACTCTAGAACCACACACACTGTAGATCCCCTAGGACACTCTAGAACAAGGCACACACTGTAGACTCCAGGGACATGCTCTAGAACCAGTCACACACTCTAGATCCCCAAGGGCACTCTAGAACCAGACACCCACTCTAGATCCCCTAGGACACTCTAGAACCAGGCACATACTCTAGACTCCAGAGCTATCCTCTAGAACCAGGCACACACTCTAGATCATCAAGGACATGCTCGACAACTAGGCACACACTCTAGAGCCACAAAGACACTTTAGAACCAGACACACATTCTAGAACCAGGCACACACCATAAACCCCAGGGCATCCCCAAAACCTGGGCGTGCACCCTGGGTGCCTACCTGCCAGGAGTGCAGCTTCAGAGGCAAAGGTCATGGCCAGTTGGCGGAGGATGTCGGCTGGGCTGTCGGGCACGAAGAAGCCCAGGTAGCTGATGGAGGAGTGTAGCTCCAGTGGGAGCCGGGCAGGGAAGCTGCCCAGCACTCTGTCACCTGCCCTCCGGAGTGCCTCGTACAGACACTCCACCTTGTGATCCTCGCACTGAGGGCAGAGAGATGGGGTTCACCTGGGCACCGGCCATCTTGCAGCCCGTTGCTCTGCGCCGGGGTAGGAGCCTTGGCACCTGGGTATTCCTGCCTGGACTCTCTGTGAAGTGCTCAGGCCGGAAAGTGGCACCATTTGACACAACAGTTCCCAGTGAGGCTCACAGTTGCAGCTGCACAGCCACCTTCACTTCAGGCCATGGCTGTGCCTGCATGGCCCTGCCCTGCTCCTGGGAGCTGCCCTAGTCTGAGGCCACTGGTGGGCCTGCCCTGAGGCTGACGGCTGCAGCCCTGCAGCCTGTTGGCACCAGGCTGATGTCACCTAGGCTCAGCTCCTGCCCTCTGCCTCACCCCTGCCCACTCCCGGCAGGTGTGGTGGCCCCCGGCCCCTGGAGTGTCCCAGGCTCTCTCTGCAGTCAGCCCCTAGTTGATGGCACCTGGCCAGGAGGTGGTCTTCCATCCTATGCCAGAAAGGTGATCTTGGCTGCCATGCTGTGGGGGTCAGGCACCCTGGGACGACTCACCGTGAAGAAGTCGCAGAGCGTGATGTGGGGGAAGACCTCGTGGGCCCTGTTCCGGGCGCACTGGCGCTGGCTGTCCCTCCAGAAGGCCTGGAGCTCCTCCAACAGGGCGCCCGTGGGGCACAGGAAGAGGGCGTACTCCTGGGGGATGGGGTCGTCTAGGGAAGGGTCGTCGCTGTGGCTGTGCAGCCTGGAACACAGGGTGGCCACTGGCACCCTTGTCTCCATGGGGACGCAGGGGTCCCTGGCTCCCCGAGCTCCAGCTGGTCCCTTGGCACGGGGTGGGGCACCTGTTCTCTGAACTCAACAACCCACACTTGGAATAGGAAAGTCAAAGGCAGAAGAAGAATCAGTGCCTCTTTTGAAAATCACAGCACCTCAAGGAGAGAGAGAACAAAAGGGAGTGCCCTGCCACAGAGGCAGGGTGGGATGGGAGGCTGGGGGCTGGGAGGGATACTGGGATCCATGATGGTGGAGAATGGGCACTGGTGGAGGGATGGGTTCTCAATCATTGTATAACTGAAACCCAAGCACAAAAATTTGTAAGTCTACAACTGTACTTCATGGTGTTTCACCAATAAAAATAAAAAAATAAAAATAAAAAGAATCGGGACGAAATGAAGGCACGGCGATGGCATTCTGCTTCTGTCCAGAAAGTCTCTGTATACGCCAGGAGAGGCGCGGCCCCAGCACGGACTCCAACCTGCCTGCCGCAGGCCTCTGGCTTCTCACCAGTCGTGTAAGCAGAGTGACGCTCAGCGCACCCAAGAACCATGAGGCCGTGCCAGTGTTCATGAGGGGTCCAGCACCCAGAGAGAAGGTGAAGCCATGGCCAGCATCTCCCTGGGGATCGCAAGCAGGATGTCTGGGCAAGAAAGGCAGCGAGGCCAGAGGCAGCAGCCTGACATGGCCTGACTCGGCGGCGGGCTAGAAGCGCTTCACTGACTCCGTGGGAGGCCGGGGTGGGTGCAGGGCTAGCGCCGTGGCAAGGTGTTGGGTGCAGATGACCGTCCTTGGTAGAGGATAGCCAGGGTGGCCCTGGACGGGTCCCAGCCCACAGCAGGCAGAAATGCCTGGGAGGAGATGGGCTGGGAGGGTCACCAGGCACCATGGGCAACCTCAGGTCAGTGCTTGTGGCCAGCCTTGGGTCTCCCAGTGAGTGACCCCACTTTAGAACGTGCCTCCAGGGCGACAGCCGGGGTGTGGGGGGCTGCCGTGGAGGGACGTGGACTTGGGTGGAGGAGCCGGACACAGTGCTTGAGGCCGCTGCCAACAGCTCAAGGGGCCGAGCCTGGAGGGTCTCAGCCCTGCTGGGGGCCAGGCCTGTCTATGCCATTTCCCCATGGGCATGGCAGGCGTGACTGTGGGTCGGGCGGGGGGGGGGTCTTGCCCCCACTCCTCCTCAGGTACCGCCTCGCTGGCACAGGAATCGCTTCGACTCTCAACACGTCCAGGCCTTTGTGTTCCTTGGGAAGCCCCACACCCCACCCCGCGAGACCCCGGCATGGGCAGCCCCCAGTGTCCACTCACCAGTCTGAGGCCTCCTCCACTGTCCTCCTGCCTGTGGCCGCCAGCGCCTTCAGCCTGCAGACAGCAGAGGGGGCGCTCAGAGACCCCCAGCTTCTGGGAGAAGTGGGGTTCCCTGCAACAGTGCCGAGACCACCGCCCGGGGCTGTCTGTGCCAGGGGGCGTGGGGACCCCTGTCTCCCAGGTCTGGCTCATCTTCCTGGACTCACACCTGCAGTCCAGGAATGACACGGGTTCTCCCCAACTCCGGCAAGCCAGGCCCCCCACCCCCGACCCTTGCCCCACTCAGAGCCAGGCAGACCGGGAGTGTCCCCACCCTGGCATTCTCAGTGCAGCCCCTCGCCCATGAGACCCCAGAACCGCCTGAGTGGGGAGCAGGTGTGCCCCTCACGGCCCCGCCCTGCCATGGGTCTCTAAGTCTCCTGCCAGTGTCCCGGCTGTGTGTGGGTGCTGTTGGGCCCCCCAGAAATGCAGCCTGGATGCACCCTGAGAGTGACGCCCCCACCCCCGGCTGTCTGGCGCTGTGGTTCCATGGCACCCATGGGAGGTGGCCCCAAGGGGAGCATGTCCAGTGAGGCACTCAGCTCTGCCCCAGAGCCCAGCAAGGCGGGTGGGAGAAGCTGCTTCTCAGGGGGCAGCAAGCTCACCTTCCGGGTGCCCAGACTATCCTCTGACTCTGCAGGGCAGTGCCTGGGCTGCCCCAACCCCTGGCCATGAGGACTGGTCCGGGATCACTCAGCCCTGGGTAGGGTCCCCTAGAGGAGGGGTCTGGGTCCCCGTGCTCAGGAAGCAGAGTGATCCCTTCTAGCTCCAAGCATTGGCTGGCCAGGGCTGACCCTTCAGCACACGGCTTTGCTTCCTCCTCGGACACGCAGGCTGGGGCCAGCCCTGCCCAGGGTTCCAACACCCTTTGGTTCAATCAAGGAACTGTTGGAGACTTTGGCCAGGCCCAGTGGGTGTCACCATGGAACACACCTTCTGGAGGTTCCACCACGGGAGCAGGAGGCCTTCAGAGTCACCCGGGTCGCCTCCGAGCCCTGCTGTGGGGGAGCTGGAGGTGGCGGCCAGGGGCGGGCCGGGCGCAGGAAGCCAGAGCTCGGGGAGGGGGTACTCACGCGGTGTGTGCAGGGAAGCCCATGGCCAGGAGCGTGTCCAGGAGCGAGGAGGAGCCGCGGCGGCGGTGCTTGTTGGAGACCTTGGCGTAGAGCTGGGGCTCGGCGGCCGCCATGCTTCCTGCTGCACCCGCAGATAAGGCGGAGCAGACGCGAGGCCGCGGGAAACCTCAAGGCCTTTTTGATCCCCCCAAGAGAGCTAATATCCTGTTTGCCAGAGCTCTCGGGGTGCCAGGGCTCAGGCCCGCTTGCACGGGGGCTTTGGGTCTGGGCGTCTTCGAGGTTGTCGTGGGCTCCACGGGGGCTGGGTTCTTATGGAAGCAGGGGGCACGGATGTGGGGCGGGGGCCAGGAGTGGGGTTCTCTGCGGGTCCGGGCTCCTGAGCTGCCTCGGTCTTGGTTTCCTCTTGACGTCAGGTCACACTCACCCTAGCTCCCTGCCAGCTCTAGAATTTTCTTTCTCAGTTGGACAACAATGGTTTGTCAATTTAAAGAGAGCTTCAGTGCTTAATGCATAAACAGAAACGTCCGTGGGGGTGTGTTTCCTGTGGATTTTCATAACGTGACCCTCCACACTTGCCTTTCCGGGACCAGCCGCAGAACAGGGGTCCTCAAGCCGGGTCCTATGGGCTCACCCCCACCTTGGTCCTAGCACGGAGTCGTGGCTGCTCGCTGCTGCCTGTGGTGGTGGAGTGCAGGAGCGAAGCAGGGGCGTCCAGCAAGGCTTCCTGCTCCAGTGGCTCCCTGATCGGACCTGCTCCAGAACATGCCGGAAGCCCGGTATCACCTCCCCGCACACAGCAGAACTGTTCTGTTCAGGCGTGCTCTTATTTTGCCTCTTTTTCACAGCCACGTTTTTGTTTTTGACCTGATATCTTCCCCCCAAAGCTGTGTGTGTGTGTGTGTGTGTGTGTGTGTGTGTGTGTGTGTATTTAATTTTTGCTTTTTGGGTCACACCCAGTGATGCTCAGGGCTGACTCCTGGCTCTGTACTCAGGAATTAGGACTGGCAGTGCTCAGCGGACCATATGGGATGCCGGGAATTGAATCCGGGTTGCAAGGCAAACACCCTCCCTGCTGTGCTATTGCTCCAGTCCCTGTATGTATGGCTTATCCATGGCCACAGCTTATGGGTATTGAAGCACCCAAGTCCACCGGGGAAGCGAACCTTGAGGCTGCTGTCCACGGCACGGGCAGCAGGGAGAGGGCCAGGAGCACCCCAGGTGGTGCAGGCTGGACCATCTTATTTATTTATTTATTTATTTATTTATTTATTGCTTTTCGGGTCACACCTGGCGATGCTCAGGGGTTACTGCTGGCTTTGCACTCAGGAATCACTCCTGGCAGTGCTCAGGAGACCATATGGGATGCTGGGAATTGAACCCGGGTCGGCCGCGTGCGAGGCAAACACTGTGCTATCACTCCAGTCCCCTGGACCATCTTATTTAAATGTGACTCTAGAGACCTGGGCACAGCAGGTCCGGCGTTTGCTTTGCACGCGGCCGGCCCATGTTCCTTCTCTGGCACCCCACACGGCCCCCCAAGCCCACCCAAAGTGATTTCTGAGTATTTTGACTCTAAAGGAGGTGAGCGGCAGGCAGGCGTGTGAGGTCAGGCGGGTGCCGGGGTTTGAGGTGAGCGACTCCTGACTTGGTGCTTTCCCTGGATGCTCAGGTTCGACTGCCCGTGTTTGCCAGTGTGTGGTTAGTCCTCGTGGAATAGATGTTTTTCTTAAGGGAAAGGAAACTAAGGACGCTAAAAACCAGTCTCAGTTTAACCTCAGGCGGGATTTCTGATGGGATTTGATTGGGGAATATGTTAATCTAGGGGTTATTTTTAATAGTATGAGTCTTCATGAATATGTAGATCCTTTTGATGAATTTTAGTAATGCTTTGTAGCTCCCTACAGGCTTCAATCATTCACTTTATTCTTACGTGTTACATGTTTTTGAGGTTATTGTAATTAATAATAATTTATAATTTTTTTCACCATATACAACTGATTTTCTCATCATAGTCAGTCATTTTGCTGTGTCCCTCCCTCCCTCCTTCCCTCCCTTCTTCCTTCCTTCCTTCCTTCCTTCCTTCCTCCCTCCCTCCCTCCCTCCCTCCCTCCCTCCCTCCTTCCTTCCTTCCTTCCATTCTTTCTCTCTCTCTCTCTTCCTTTCTTTCTCTCTTTCCTTCCTTCACTTTCGAGCCACAGCCTGCCGTGCTCAAGCCTTATTCCTGCCTCTGCACCAGGATCAGTCCTCCTCGTGGGCTCGGGGATTCTATACATTGTTGGGGACACCAACCCACATTGGCTGTGTGCAAGACAGTGCCTTAAGCTCTAGAATCTCTCACCCCTCCCCCATCTCATACTTTGCAGATTCTTCTGGATTTTCTGTGTCTGCGGCCGTGTGAGCTCCTGATAGTGGCAGGCTGCACAGCTCATGATGACCGCGTGACTTTCTCTCCTTGTCACAGTGCTCTGGCCTTAGGGCCACCATGTCAGGAGTTGGCTTTCTGGTACTTTCCCTTGATCAGATTAAAGAAATTCCTCTTTGTGCTTAGTTCACGGAGGCGTTTAAAATGTTTCTTAGCAGGGACCAGCTGCCTCCCTGCTGTCCTTTTCCTTCAGTGCACCAGCTTCTTTGGGCCCATGGACCCTCCTTGAACCTGAAGCCCACCTCATTCTCCTGCCGTGGACCCTCCCCTGGCTCTATTGTGTGACGTATTGTGTATTTTGCTGGGTGCAACTTGCCAAATCTTGGTTGTGAGTTTTTGTGTCGTCTGAGACTCAGCCTGGCCTGTTGGTTTCAGTTTCCGTAGTTTCTTGCCTGGTTTAGTTTCAGCGTTAGCAGAGACCAGCCCTTCTGGTCTTCCTTGGTGATCCTGGTGCCATCACGGAAAGCTCCCCTCCTGGGATCCGGCCTGACCCAGACTGATGGCAAGAGTATCTGACGGGAGGTGGGCATGCCCTCGGTTGCCTCTGCGTCTCCCTGGCTGCCTCTGTGTTCCCCCTCACCGCCCCCCACCCCCCGCCCCGCTGCCTCCGTGTCCCCCCGGCTGCCTCTCCATGTCCCTGACACTTTATTTTGCGTTCTGAGCATCAATTTGCAGAGAAACTTCTGAGCGGCTGCAGGAGCTGGGGGAACCCAGCCACACTCACCCTCCCCGGCACCTGTGCCCATAGTTAAATGCAGGTTAACCCGAGACTTGGCCTGTCTCTGAGCTGAGTAGAGACCCGCTCGCAGAGCCCTCCACACATGCTCTCAGGGGCGGTGTCTACACTGGCCCGCAGGGCTGGCCCCTCGGCACTCCCTGAGACGCTCAGGTAGAGGCGGCCAGGACGGGCCTCTGGGTCTCCGCGTCCAGGGCCGAGGACTCAGTGTCCTTTCAGGCCTCTGAGTGACAGAGGGCAGGTTGTCCTCTGGGCAGGTGGGAGGAGGGATGCCCAGCGCCACAGCCGTGAATGAGCACCGTGTCCGTCTCTGCCCGTGGTTAGGCCCAAACCAGGAGGATCCATCCCTGTGCGCTGGCGCATGGCGCAGGGGCTCTGAGACCCTCGCATGCACCCTGGAGCCCCGCTTCTTTGCTCTGCTCCATCACCCAACAGCCAGAGCTGAGGTCCCTGGCAGCTCGGTGCCCCCACAGCCGCCCTCCCGGACACCTGGGCCTTCTGGGGGCTCCTCCTGGCTCTCAGGACTGAAAGTTCTGTGCTTGGAATACCTGCCCCTCCCCCCAACACACACTTAGCTCTCAAAGGCCCCTTTGTCTCAGAGTGCAGATCACAGATAACATGGCAGGAGCCGCCCTACCCACTCTGCTCCTCACGTGTGGCCACTTTGTCCCTCAGCCCGGAGATATTTCTGAATAGTCTCAGCATCCGGCACCATCCCCCTTCACGCAGCCATGGTGAGGTGTGCAAAAACCCTGGAAGGGATGTGCATTTGCAGTGCAGGGACGAATGGGCTCCATGCCCGGGGGCTGCACACGGGCGCGTGGGCGATGCCTCGCTCAGTGCTGTGTGCTTGTACCCCTAATAGCACCTGGGCATGTGCGAGGAGGGGCGGCCACGTGGGATCCCACGTGAGGAGGGGGAGGCCACGTGGAGTCCCACGTGAGGAGAGGCAGCCACGTGGAGTGGTCACGTAGGGTTCCATGAGAGAAGGGGTGACCACGTGGGGTCCTACATGAGGAGGGGTGGCCAATGGGGGGGTCCCACGTGAGGAGAGGCGACCACGTGGGGTGGCCACGTGGGTTCCCATGCGAGGAGAGGTGACCATGTGGGGGCCCATGTGAGGAGAGGAGGCCACGTGGGATTCCACGTGAGGTGAGGGTGGCCACATGGGGCGGCCACGTGGGGTCCCACGGCTCGCGTAGGTGACGTTTCCCAGGCATGCTCACCTGACCGGCCCACTCCTGCCAAAGCCCCCACATTCCCCGCCCTGGTTTCCGTGGCCACCTGATAGCCAGCTCCAGGTCAGGTTACAGCGGCTGCTGCGGTGATACCGCAGGTGATGAGGCCGGGGACTGGTGGGAATAACCTGCGGGTTGGCCTGGCCCCGGCAGAAGGGTCCCAGCACCTGCTTCAAGAATGGAGGAGATGCGGGGAGCAGTGAAGGATGGAGTCCCCCGACATGGTGAGTCCAGGTGGGGGGCTCTCCAAGGGCAGCACAGCCCTGGCCGCCCCCAAGAACCCCTCGTCGAGGCCCGCAGCCCGCACTGGCTGCACACTGGAAGGTGCATTTACTTGTCTCTGGAGTCTTCAAAACCGAGATGTGAGAATCCCGGCCGAGCACCGACTGAGCATAGCAGGACCCGGAATGACGGGGGGACACACAGGTGGGGGTTGCCAACGAGACAGGTGGGACAGACAGACAGCAGGCAGGCAGACAGACAGACAGGGAGATGTATGGACAGACAGGCAGTCACAGGCAGGCAGACAGGCAGAGACAGACAGACAGGCAGAGCCAGACAGACAGGCAGAGATAGGCAGACAGACAGACAGACAGACAGGCAAGCAGATGGGCAGGCAGGCAGAAGGGAGCAGCACGGCGTGTCTGCAGACCCCAGGCTCCGCTCTGGGAGAAAGTGGGTCCTGGGTCCTGGCCTGGTCCTGGGTTTGGAGCCGACCTGACTTGTCCTCCGTCCCGTCCCGCCGAGAGTCGCAGGGAACTCCAGGCCCTTTGACCTCTTGGCCACTCCGGGTGGAATTCTCAGGCGGGAACCAGAGCCCAGGTGTGGGGGGGGCGGGAGGGGGCAGGTGCCCCGCCCTCCCCGCCTCCCCGTGGCCGAGGGCTGGTCACTGTCCTAACTAGGTCATGCCCGAGGGAGCCGCCTGAGGCTGGGCCTCGGGGGACGCTGCAGCCTCTGCGGCCGGGGGGTAGCCACCATCGGGAGACACGGGCATTATGTGAGTACCAGGGCCGGAGGGGGTACGGGCGGCCTGTGCCCAGCCAGAGAGTGAGTCATGGGATAGGCCGAGGAGACGGCTGGGCGGCCCGGGTGTCGGTGCTGATGGTGACATCGAAGGCTCCGAGGATGAGCTCTAGGGCCACGGGAACGGGGTTAGTGGCCACACAGCATCCTTGGGGCTGACCATGGGCTCTGCCCTCAGAAACACGGGAGGTTCTGGCCGCCGTTCCTGATGCTCGTGAGGGGCTGGGCCAGGGTCCCTTGTGTGACGAGGACGTTCTTGCTGGGGTGACAGGGACATTTTCCCTGGAGTAACGGGACGTTCCCTGCTCTTCGGGAAAGGAGGTGCAGGAGGAGGTGGAGCCGCATCTCAGAGGCCCTGAAGTCGTCACCATGGGGGAGAGTGACCCTCCTGCTGCGGAAGCCCCCTTCTCCTTCCGGTCACTTTTCGGGCTGGACGATCTGAAGATAGGCCCCGTGGCTGCAGGTAGGCCAGAGCCGGGCCCCGACAACGTGAACAGAGTCCGGGAGGCCCCGGGGTCCCTAGGGCGGGGGCCTAGAGGGGGCTTCCCTGGCTGGCTCCGGGTGGGTCCCTGGGAGAAACCTCTGCTGTGGGTCCCTGTGGGGGCTGTAGCTGCCCCAGGGAGCTGGCGGGCAGGGCCTGGCTAGAGAATCTCCTAGGGCCTCAGGACGTGCCCCCAGAAAACGGGCGCATGGGCCGTCCCGGCGAGCACCCACCCCTCAGTTAGGATCTGAGGTGGGCGGGTGTCCTCCTGGCGGGTGGGAGAGTGCGCTGCTCCGTGACTGGGCCCTGGACACTCAGGATGGCGGAGCCCGGAAGGTCTGTCCACCCAGGGGTCTCCTGGGAAGCCCCCCCCCACCCACTGTCATGGGGAACTGTGGGGTCAGGACCCTGGACTCGTCTGCTGGGCTGGCACGGGGACCTCGCAGAGCCGGTTCTCAGACACCAGAGGGCTGGAGAGGGACAGAGGGGCGGGCACAGAGCCCTGGGCACAGGGCGGGGAGTGAGCCTGAACCCGCCGACCCAAACAAACATTCGAGCAGAAAGGCTGGAGCTGCATTGCCTAGGGGTTCCTTTGCTCTGTTTGTTTCGAGCCTGACGGAGCAGTGGTTAGGGCTGACTCCCAGCTCTGTGCTCAGGGCTGCCTCCTGGTTCTGTGCTCAGGGCTGACTCCTGCCTCTGTGCCCGGGGCTGACTCCTGCCTCTGTGCTCGGGGATCACTCCCGGCTCTGTGCTTGGGGCTCACTCCCGGCTCTGTGCTCAGGGCTGACTCCTGGCTCTGTGCTCAGGGCTGCCTCCTGATTCTGTGTTTAGGGCTGCCTCCCGGCTCTGTGCTCAGGGCTGCCTCCCGGCTCTGTGCTCAGGGCTGACTCCCGGCTCTGTGCTCAGGGCTTACTCCTGTGTCAGTGCTCAGGGATCACTCCTGGCTCTGTGATCAGGGATGACTCCTGGCTCTGTGCTCAGGGCTCACTCCCGACTCTGCTAATCACTGACTTCTGGCTCTGTACTCAGGGTTGACTCCTGGTTCTATGCTCAGGGCTGACTCCTGGCTCTGTGAGCAGTAATCACTCCCCCTAGGGCTTTGGGGACCACAAGGGGTGCCGGGGATGGAACCTGGGTTAGTGGTGTGCAGAGCCCTGCCCACTGAACCACCTCTCTGGCCCCTGGGAGTCTAAATCCCTAGGATGATTTCAGGCTCCAAGCAGAGGTCCGGAAACTGGTGGGGACAGCGCGTGTGCTGCAATGAGCCCAGCCTGGCCTTTCGTGGCTCTGGGACCCCACCCCACTTGTGGGTCTGTTCTCGTCTTCCTGAAGCTCCCCGAGGTGGGCGTTCCTCTGCTCTGATGCCCCCGCGGCCAGGATACACGTGGCCACAGGCCTCGTCCTTGCTGTCCACCCTGCAGAAGCGTGTCTGGGGCCCTCGAGGGGAGCAGGCTGCGCCCCCCTCCCCAGCCCCCTGGCTTGTGCGGGATCACTCTCGCGGCTCCCTCTGGGTAGTGGGAAGGAGCAGATGTGGACAGACCCTTTTCCTGCTGAGTGAAGCAAGCACTTCACTTCAAAAAAACAGTTCAAAAACAAGCGTCACTGTTCACTGCAGTTCCCTGCAGAGGGGCTGCCCCGCCCACCGCGCGCCCGCTTCCCATGCAAGAGCTGTCGGCTGCTCACGCTGCTCTGAAGCTTTTCTCTAAACCTGACAGTGCCCTGCTCCGGGGTCTGGGGAGGCAGGACCGCGGGCAGGGTGCCTGCCTTGCGTGCGGCCACCTGGGCCCAGCCCTCAGCACCCCTCAAGGGCTCCCTGAGACCAGCAGGAGTGATCCTCAGTGGGTGCTGAGCCCCACCAAAACAAAAGCAAAAATCAGTTATCATACTCACCTTCCTGCCGCATCACACAGTGGAGTTTTCTTCCAGGCAAGCAACCTGTGGCTCCTGCCAGATCTGGCCCGAAGGGCTCGTTTTTATTTTTATATATTTTAATTTAATTTTATTATTATTATTATTATTATTATTATTATTTTGCTTTTTGGGTCACACCCGGTGATGCTCAGGGGTTGCTCCTGGCTCTGCACTCAGGAATCACTCCTGGTGGTGCTTGAGGGTCCTGGCACGTCAGGCATTGGGCCCGAGTCAGCCGCATGCAGGCTAACGCCCGCCCGGCTGTGCTGTCTCTCCGGCCCCAGTGTCTGTTTTTATACGTGAAACTTTATTGGAACACGAGGCCCTGGCCACTGACTGCCTGCATGCAGAGGGAACTGCTGCGGCCCCCAGGGCTTAAAACCAGCCCCTGGCACTTAAGGAGGGGCCGCCGGGCCTGGTGTCCTCATCAGCCCCGTTGCAGACTTTCTCTGAGGGCCCCGAGGGACCCCCTCCCGGGCAGGCTGGTTCTGGCCACGGTCAGGCCTTTGAGTACCCGTCTCCAGTGTGACGTAGCAGCGGGCGGCACCTCTCGTGCTGCTGCTTGTCCGTCTGGGAGATGGAGGTGCCCACGCCTCCTCTCCCCTGCAGGGGCTCTGCGTTTCTGTGCACTCGGGGCTGGGCACTTGCTAGGCATTTGGGGTTACCCCCTGATACCACGTGTCCCCAGAATATGCAGGATGTGGCATGAGCGCATCCGCCCCCCCCATTCTCTCTGACTGCAGAGATGGTCCTTACTCAGAGGTGCCCCTCTGAGCCGAGGGATGCATGGGAGCACTGCCCACAGTGGGGGAGCACTGCCCAGGGAGGAGCATGGGAGTGCCTGGGAACACTGATTGTGGCTGCAGAGACTAGAGTGGGGAGAGCCCAAATCTCCCTCCCTTCCTTCCTTCCTTCCTTCCTTCCTTCCTTCCTTCCTTCCTCTCTCCCTCACTCCCTCTCTCCCTTCCTTCCTCCCTCCCTCCCCTCTTTCCTTCCCTCCCTCCCTCCCTTCCTTCTTTTCTTCCCTCCCTACTTCCCTCCTTCCTTCCTTCCTTCCTTCCTTCCTTCCTTCCTTCCTTCCTTCCCTCCTTCCTTCCTTTCTTCCTTCCTTCCTTCCCTCCCTTCCCTCCTCCCTTCCCTCCTCCCTTCCTTCCTTCCTTCCTTCCTTCCCTCCCTCCCTCCCTCCCTCCCTCTCCCCTCCCTCCCTCCCTCCCTCCCTCCCTCCCTTCCTTCCTTCCTTCCTTCCTTCCTTCCTTCCTTCCTTCCTTCCCTCTCTCCCTCCATCCATCCTTCCTTCCTTCCTTCCTTCCTTCTCTCCTTCCCTCTCTCCTTCCCTCCTTCCTTCCTTCCTTCCTTCCTTCCTTCCTTCCTTCCTTCCTTCCCCCTCTCCCTCCCTCCATCTTTCCTTCCTTCCTTCCTTCCTTCCTTCCTTCCTTCCTTCCTTCCCTCTCTCCCTCCCTCCATCTTTCCTTCCTTCCTTCCTTCCTTCCTTCCTTCCTTCCTTCCTTCCCTCCCTCCCTCCCTCCCTCCCTCCCTCCTTCCTTCCCTCCCTCCCTCCCTCCCTCCCTCCCTCCCTCCTTCCTTCCTTCCTTCCTTCCTTCCTTCCTTCCTTCCCTCTCTCCCTCCTTCCTTCCTTCCTTCCTTCCTTCCTTCCTTCCTTCCTTCCCTCCCTCCCCCCCTCCCTCCCTCCCTCCCTCCCTCCCTCCTTCCTTCCTTCCTTCCTTCCTTCCTTCCTTCCTTCCTTCCTTCCTCCCTACTTCCCTCCCTCCCTCTCTCTCCCTGTCTCTTTCTTTCCTTCCTTATTTTTTTCTTGTCTTTTGTTTTTTGGCCACACTGGGCAGTGCTCAGGGTTTATTCCTGGCTCTGTGCTCAGGGATCACTTCGGGATCACATGTGGTGCTGGGCCTGAATGTAGTCGGGTCCTATGCGAGGAAATACCGTAACCCCTGCACAGCCCCTCAGTTCTCGCCCGGCCTCTCACACAGGCCGTGACAGGACAGACCTGCTTTCCCAGGGGACGCACACCCGGACACACCCCAGTGTCACACACACTCACATGCACACATACCCCAGTGCCCACATAACCCAGTGTCACAAACACTCACACGCACACACACGCACACCCCATGCTCACACATCCATACAGACACACCCGTGCCCACACATATGTACAGACACACATGCTCCAGTGCCCACATGCTGCAGGGAGTCACCTTTGGGAGCTGGGGCCCCAGTTGCCCCCCACATGAGTCTCTGAACCCGAGTGGTGTGAGACGGGAGAAATGTCCCTTTGGGAGGTGACAGAGCTGAAATCAGGGTGTAGGCAGGGCCTCTCTGTGGGGCTCTGCGGGTACCCGGCTGGGGGGGTCACCCGCACCCGCCTCCACCTTCCCCTTTCCTCTCTGGGGGCCGTACACCCATCATCACGGCCCCCTCACTTTCTATTCATGGAGGACGTCCGTCTGTCTGTCTGTCAGTCAAGGTCCGGGTGACGTCCAGGCCGGTCCAGACAGCTGGATCTGGGCCGTGTGTGTCCCTGGGGGCCACCCAGCCCCTGAGCCCTGCCTTGACCCTGCGGGCCTGCCCGGCCCTCCCCTCCCTCCCCCAGACGCAGATGCGGTGGCCGCCCAGATCCTGTCTCTGCTCCCCCTGAAATTCTTCCCAGTCCTCGTCATCGGGGTCATTGCGCTGATCCTGGCGCTGGCCATCGGCCTGGGCGGTGAGTGATCCATTATTCAGGAGGCTCTCGGGACCGGCAGGCCCTGAAACTTTGATGAGCGCGATGTGGAGCTCAGCCTTGATTACGGAGGGAGCACTGGGGCCGTGCGGTGTGGCCAGCCCTGGGCCTGGCTGGGGCTTGGTCAGGGGGCCGTGTGCTAAAGATCCGGTCAGCTGCTGAAACCGAGCCCCAGGGCGGGAGCGGGAGACAAGGAGCCATTTGTGGGGCTGGGCAGGTGCGGTGGCTCTGCAGAGAGCCAGCCACCATGTGACGTGCGGGGACAAGCCTCCTTTCTCCCCGTAACACAACCTGGGCAGCCTAGTGCCCGGGGCCAGGGCCAGCGAGAGGGGCCGGCTGGGGGTAGGGAGAGTGGGCGTTTTCCCCGTCCGCCTCACCTTCCGTGCATCTCATTCCCCTGAGTCACGGCTCAGGTCCATGAAGGGGGCAGCAGCCCACGCCCCAGGACCCTGAAACCAGCAAGGAGAGAGACGGGGGGAAGCTTCACTGCGGCTCCAACTCACGCAGACCCAGGGCCGTGGGGGTCTGGGTGCTCCCTGCACCACGCCCTCTGGGTGCCCTGTCACCCCCATGTGGGCCACAGGGGTCACGGAGGTCACGAGGGATAACACGGGGCATCACGGGGGCCATGGGAGGTGATGTCACAGGGTCATGAGGGCCTCAGGAGTGTCATGGCGCCCCATGAGGGCCCTGTGGCAGCTCCCGTGCCCTGTGACCCCGTGACCCCATGACCCTGCCCCCAGTGCACTTCGACTGCTCGGGGAAGTACCGCTGCAGGTCGTCGTTCAGGTGCGTGGAGCTGGCCGCCCGCTGCGACGGCACCTGGGACTGCCGGGACGGGGAGGACGAGTTTCGCTGCGGTGAGTCTCGCGGGGTCCAGGGGTCCCGGGGGGCTGCTGGCCACTGACCCCGACCCCTGGCCACAGTGCGGGTGAGCGGCCGGCACGCAGCGCTGCAGGTGTTCACGGCCGCCGCCTGGAGGACGCTGTGCGCTGATGACTGGAGAGAGCGACACGCGGACCTGGCCTGTGCCCAGCTCGGCTTCCCCAGGTACCACCGCGGGGTCTCCAGCCCCAGGGTCCCCGGGCCCAGCCACTCAGGTCCCTCCACCCACCCCCGGTCTGGGCTCAGCAAGGACAGTAGGGGTGTGTGTGTGTGCGTGTGTGTGTTGGAGATGTGTGTTTGTGTGTGTGCACTATTGTGTATGTGTGGTGTGTGTATTGGATGTGTGTATGTATGTGGTCTGTGAGTGTGTGTGGCATTGTGTATGTGTGGTGTGTATTTGTGTGTATGTGTGTGACAGGTGTGTCTATGTGGTATGTGTATGTGTGTTGGTGTATGTATTGGTGTGTGTGTACCTGCATGGTGTGTGTATGTGTGTGTGTGATGTGTGCATGTCTGTGTGGTGTGTATGTATATGTGTTGTGTGTGTATTGGTGTGTGTATTGGTGTATGTGGTGTGTGTATTGGTGTGTGTTGGTGTGTGTATTGGGGTGTGTGTGGTGTGTATATCTGTATGTTGGTATGTGTATTGGTGTGTATGTATTGGTGTATGTATGTGTGTTGGTGTGTGTGTTGTATGTATGTGTTGGTGTATGTGGGGTGTGTGTATGTGTGTTGGTGTGTGTAGTGTGTGTATGTGTGTTGGTGTGTGTGCACTATTGTGTATGTGTGGTGTGTGTATTGGATGTGTGTATGTATGTGGTCTGTGAGTGTGTATGGTATTGTATATGTGTGGTGTGTGTATATGTGTGTATGTGTGTGACATGTGTGTCTATGTGGTGTGTGTATTGGGGTGTGTTGGTTTGTGTATTGGTGTGTGTGGTGTGTATATCTGTTTGTTGATGTGTGTATTGATGTGTGTGTACTGGTGTGTATGTATGTGTGTTGGTGTGTGTGGTGTATGTATGCGTTGGTATATGTGTGGTGTGTGTATGTGTGTTGGTGTGTGTATTGGGGTGTGTGTGGTGTGTGTATGTGTGTTGGTGTGTGTATTGGGGTGTGTGTGGTGTGTGTATGTGTGTTGGTGTGTGTATTGGGGTGTGTGTGGTGTGTGTATGTGTGTTGGTGTGTCTATTGGGGTGTCTTTATGGTATGTGTGTGGGGGGGTGTCAGGTCTGCTCAGTACACGGCCCTCAAAGCCCCAGATGGGCCGGGGTCCACAGACACCCCCTGGCTGGGTGTTGTGTGGAGGGAGACCCCTGAGGGTGTCAGTGGTGCTGCTCTGTCCGCTGCAGACGTGCCCGTCCCCATCCCTGTCCCTGCTTGCCCCCCGTCTCTGTCCCTGTCCCTGTTCCCTTCCCTGCCCTGTCCCCGTCCTCGTCTCACCAGCCTGCCCCCGTCCCCCCCCCCCCCGCCCTCGTTCCCACCCCGAGAGCTCCAGCTGCCCCTGCCTGCCCAGGCTCCCCGGGGCTCAGAGACAGCACGTCTTTCCCTCTCCCACCCTGCACGGCCGTGTGCTGGGCCAGCCTGCCTGGCGCCCAGGACCGCCCCGTGCCCAGGGCTGTGCGGGGCTGGGGGGCAGGGGTCCGTGGGGCCAAGTGGACGCCCACCTGCTCCCGCCCGCAGCTCGGTGAGCTCGGCGGCTCTCAGGGTGGATGCGCTGGAGGAGCGTTTCCGGGGGGACTTTGCCTCCATCAACCACCTCCTGCCTGATGAAAAGGTCACGGCGCTGCAGCACGCGGTGTACGCCAGGTGGGGGCGCAGCGGCCGGGTCTGTGGGGTGGGAGTGGGGGACGCGTGCCGGACTCCAAGCCCACAAATGGGGCTGGAGGAGGGTGGGAGGTGTGTGTGGTGTGTGGGTTCCGGGAGCAGGCTCAAGAGGGGAGAGAGAGATGGAGAGAGGGAGGGAATGGAGAGAGGGGAGAAGGAGGGAGAGAGGGAGAGGGAGAGAGACGGAGAGGAGAGAGAGAGGAGAGAGAGAGGGCGAGAGAGGGCGAGAGAGAGGGAGAGAGGAGAGAAAGGAGAGAGGGAGAGGGAGAGAGGGAGGGAGAGAGAGGAAGAGAGAGGGAGAGAGAGGGAAAGAGAGGGGGAAAGAGAGGAAAGGAGAGGGAGGAAGAGAGAGAGAAGAAAGAGAGAGGGAGAGGGAGAGAGAGAAGAGAGAAATGTGCTAAGTGCTGAGTCCAGATGCTGGGTACTGGGTGCTGGGTGCCCGTGAGCCTGTGAGCTCATGAGCCCAGGTGCCCTTGTACCTGTGTGCCCGGGTGCCTGAACCCCTGTGCCCGTGTGGCGTGAGCCCTGCCAGGCGTCTCTGTCCCGCAGGGAGGACTGTGCGTCGGGCCGTGTGGTGACCCTGGCGTGTGCAGGTGAGCTTCCCAGAAGGCGTCAGAGCCGAGCCAGAGTGGGGCCAGCTGGCCAGTGGGGTCCCCAGGCACATCTCCATCCCCCCCCACTGTGCCCCAGGCAGCCTCGCCCCTCATTTTGGAGAGAGGGCTCACGGTGTGGAGTGATTCCAACGTCTCCCTCCAGTTCAGACCCTGGGCTCACCGAGGGTGCTCCCAAGGGCCTTGACCTCTCACCTGTGGTTGCTGTGTGCTGTGGGCATGTGTGGGGCCCCTAGTTCACCCTCCCGCAGCCGGTGGGACATGGGGATGGGTGTGTGTATGGGCATGTGTGGGCATGAGTGGGCATGTGTGGGCATGAGTGGGTGTGTGTGGGCATGTGTGGGTATGTGCAGGTGTATGCTGGTGTGTACAAGTGTGTGTGGGCATGTGCTGGAGTGTGCAGGCTTGTGTAGGGCGTGTGAGGGTGTGTGTTGGCATGTGCAGGCATGTGTGAGCGTGTGTATGCTGATGTGTGCGGGCGTGTACAGGCATGTGTGGGCAAGTGCAGGCATGTGCGGGCTAGTGCTAGTGTGTGCAGGCATGTGCGGGCGTGTGTGGGCATGTGCAGGTGTGTGCTGGCATGCATGTGTGTGTGTATGTGTGAGCATGTGCTGGCCTTTGCAGGCGTGTGCTGGCATGCGTGGGTGTGTGCAGGCATGTGTTGGCATGTACAGGCATGTGCTGGTGTGTGTAGGTGTATGCTGGTGTATGTGGGCGTGTGTGGGTATGTGCATATGTGTGTGTGCAAGCATATGCTGGTGTGTCTGGGCATGTGCTGGTGTGTGTAGGCATGTGTGGGTGTATGTGGGTGTGTGGGCATGTGTGGGCATTGCAGGTGTGTGTGGGTGTGTGCAGGCATGTGTGAGCATGTATAGGCTTGTTTTGGCGTGTGCTGGCATGTGTGGTCATGTGTGGGTATGTGTGGATGTGTGTGCAGGTGTGTGTAGGAGTGTGCAGCGTGTGCTGGCGTGTGCAGGTATGTGCGGGCGCCCCAGCTCTCTCTCCCACAGCCTGTGGCCTGAGGCTGGGCCGCGGCCGCATCGTGGGCGGGAACGCGTCCTTGCTGGCACAGTGGCCGTGGCAGGCCAGCCTGCAGTTCCGGGGCCAGCACCTGTGTGGGGGCTCCGTCATCACGCCCTCCTGGGTGGTCACCGCTGCACACTGCGTGTACGAGTGAGTGGGACCGAGGGCGCGGGCTGGCGGGACTCCCCACAGGTTCTGAGTGTGGCAAAGGGCTGGGGGAGGGGGGCGGAGGAGGGTGTGGCGGGGCCTCCCTGGGGACGGGTCACAGGCTGACCAGCGGCGAGGCCTGCCCGGCTGCCGTTCTCCCGCTGAGACTCAGCCCTTGGCCTCGTGGGGGAAGTGGGGGCTGCCACGTGGCCTGTGCTCTCCACCCCCCGGTCACCCCTCCTGCCTCGCCTGTCCCTGGCAGCCTGTATGAGCCCAAGTCCTGGACCGTCCAGGTGGGGCTGGTGTCCCTGGACAGCCCGGCGCCATCCCACCCGGTGGAGAAGATCATCTACCACAGCAAGTACAAGCCCAAGAAGCTTGGCTACGACATCGCGCTCCTCAAGTTGGCCGGGCCCCTGGCCTTCAGCGGTGCGTTGGCCGATGTGGACACGGGCCCGGCTAGCTCAGGGTGTCCGGTTCTGTCCACCTCCTCCAAGGCGGCATCTCCCTCCGTGTTCCCGGGGGTGGGACTGACCCACTCAGGTGGCCCCGGGGCCTCGTGGCCTGCCGGGTGTTGCTGGGTGAAGACCTTCTCAGTCGAGGCGGGTGGACAGGGCGGTGCCTCTCCGGCAGGAGGACACAGAGACGCCCGTTCCCAGAGTGGCTGAGGGCATCTCCAAGGGCCAGGCCTTGTCCATGAGGGGTGTGGAGAGCCCAGAGGAGCCGCCAGGAGGAAGCTGCCAGGGCTGCAGGGCTGACGATCAGGGCACGGGAGCCGGGGATGGCACGGCTGGGCTGCTGGGGCCGGCAATGGGCCACTAGCGAACGGACTTCCAGAGGCCGGTTAGCGCTGCCCTGGACACTGGGAAGGTGACAAGGGCCATCTGGTGGGGGTCACTGAAAGGAGTGTCCCCCCCATGGGTCATGGACCAGAGTGTCCCCCATGGGTCACGGAGCAGAGTGTCCCCCACGGGTCACTGACAGGAATGTCCCTCATGGGTCACTGACCAAAGTGTCCCCCATGGGTCACTAACCGGTCTGTCGACCCTCTGGGTAACACTGACTCACTGCCCAGCCAGCAGGTGTCCGTGCTGTCCCCTAGAAGCCCTAGGATTGAGCGGCAGGGGCAGGGGGTGGACCCTGAGGGGCAGGGGTTGGGAAGGACGGAGCTGTGGTGTAGATGGGAGTTGGGTGGGATGACACCCTCCCGGCCGTGTGTAGCAGGCCCCTCGGCCCCGTGTCGTGACTCAGGGGCTCTGGGCAGGGCCCGTCCTTGGCCATGGGTGCAGCCGGGGGCCAGGGTGCCCCTGACTGCTCCCCCCTACCCCTGATTCCACCCATTCCAGCCATGATCCAGCCCGTGTGCCTGCCCAACGCAGAGGAGGACTTTCCCGAGGGGACGCTATGCTGGACATCGGGCTGGGGGGCCACAGAGGACGGAGGTCAGCTCCCGTGTCCCCCCAGCCCCCGGGTGCAGGTCAGGGTGTTGGACCCACGTGTCCAGGTGGGGCTTCTCCTGGTGCTGGGTGCGAGGGCCTAGTGGCTGGGCCCGTGACAGGGCCAGGAGGCTGCACCCCAGCCTTCAGCATCAGTGCGTGAGGGGCCTGGAGGGGCAGTGGACAGGATCAGGGCCCTGCTTGGCTCCTGCCCTGGTATGGGGGTTTGCAGTCCTGACTCCTGCATCCCCCTCACTCTGAGTCTGTCCCTTGTGAGCCATGAGACAAGCCTTCCTTGTCAGCCCCACGTGCTGTGGGCAGAGTTGGGGGCTCAGTCGGGCCTGGAGTGCACAGATCCAGGGAGCCCCCGCTGGGACGTGCTCGGCTGCCAGCCACGGGGAGGTGGTGCCCTCTGGGGCAGTACAGACGCCCTCTGGCTCTGGGGTAGTGGCCGCGGGCGGCCTTGGGGGGCCTCTGGGCACTGTCTCCAGAGCTGCTTCTCTGGAGCTTTCTAGAAAGTCTGAGTCTGTCTTGTCTAAGTCCGTCTAGAATGTCTCAGAGCCTGTCCATCTGGAGCTTGTCCCTCAGGCTTCTCCAACACGGCCCCCTAAGATGCCCCCTCTGCAAGCCCTCCTCTTATCAGTCACCCCCAGTCTCGTGCCATGACCCCTGAGGCACCTTCCCCCGTACCCAGGCACCCCTGCCTGGCTTCCAGCGTTGCTTCCCCGGCCCCGGGCTGGGCATGGCCCCTGAGCTGGTCCCGGCACCCCCGGCCTGGCAAGAAGGCCCGAGCCCCCGGCAGAGACGTAGCACAGCCACGGGCACCTCCTCACCCCTGTGCTGAGCTCCGGGAACCTCACTTTCCCTCACCCTGGCCCGGGACCCCCTGCTGAGCATGGGAAAGAGTATGGGGTACCCCCCACCCCGCTCACCACAGGGCCCTGCCACTGCCCCTTGCAGGTGACGCGTCCCCCACGCTCCAGCACGCGGCTGTGCCCCTGCTGGCCAACAAGGTGTGCAACCACCGGGACGTGTACGGCGGCATCATCTCGCCGGCCATGCTGTGCGCTGGCTACCTGCAGGGCGGCGTGGACAGCTGCCAGGTGGGCCGGCCGACATGGCCAGAGCAAATACTCAGGGTGTGGGACAAGTTTACCCAAGATAGGTCCCCCGGACCCCACCCTGCTGGGCACGCAGCTGGGAGCCCCTGTCCCCGGCGGGAGGCAGGGCCCGGGAGAGCTTTAGGGGTGGCGGGAGTCGGGGGGCTGGAGTGGAGACCCTCTCCCAGGGTGCGAGGCGGGATGTGGGGAGTCAGGGGAAGGGGCAGGGTCCTCCCCACTGTGCCAGTGCTCCTTCCCACCCGCAGGGGGACAGTGGGGGACCCCTGGTGTGCCAGGAGAGGAGAGTATGGAAGCTGGTGGGGGCCACAAGCTTCGGTATCGGCTGTGCCGAGGTGAACAAGCCCGGAGTCTACACCCGCATCACAGCTTTCCTGGACTGGATCCACGAGCAGATGGAGGTGGGCGCCCGCGGGGCGGCAGGCTGGGCTGAGGGGCGCGCGGGATGATGCCCAGCGAGGGCCAGGGACGAGGGCACCTGGAGGGGGTGATGTCGCAGGAGGGGCGGGGCGGGGAGCTCGGCTGGGGAGGGAGTGCCAGATGTGGGTGTAACCGGGGTGCTGGGGGTTGAGGTGGTGCCAGGCCGAGAGTGTCACCTCCCACCTCACTGGCGTTTGGCAAATATTTGCCAGTGTGAGCCCTGCTCTGCCCCAAGGGCCTTCTAGGATTTGCTGGTGGTGGTGCCATCAGTCGCACAGGGAGGGTTGAGGCTCGTTTCTGGGAGTTCCTGCTGCCCCCCCCAATGGCACAGCACCCTGAAAGTCAGACCCTGCCCCCAGGGCTTGGGGCTTGGGGACACTCATGGCTCTCTGGCCACACAGGGAGAGAGTCCCTGTCCTCCATTTGGGGGCCCGGAGGCAGACCCTCTCCCACCCCGGGGCCTCTGACACCCACCTGCGGGTCTCCCAGGAAGACCCCATGGCTCAGGGCCGTGCTCACTCCCTGCGGTCCATCTGTGAGGGCGTCTGGGCCAGAGTTCCACCCTGCGTCAGTTGGGGGCACCCCAGGGTCCCGCCCTGAGTCAGCTCCTGTATGACCAGCCCTGACTGCCCCCTCATTGTCTCCTGCAGTTTAATCTGAATTGTTCTGACTCCTTGGGGGAGGGTCCCCACGGAGCTGTGGATGCAGGTGGCCGTGCAGATGCGTGCGGCCGTGTCTCTTCCCTCGGTGCCCCTCCCGCCACACGCACGCAGGGCACAGAGGCGAGATTCTGGGACCGCACGGATGGGTGCCCAGGGCTGACTCATATCACTCTCCATTCCAGAGGGACCTGAAGACGTGAGGAGGCCTGTTCTGGAGTGCATGAGTTCCTGCACAGCGAGACCCCTGCCTGGGTGGGCTCTCAGTTGCTGCAGCCCCGCAGAACCGAAGGAAGGACTGTCCCCGACATCCCTCCATCCCTCCATCCCTCTATCTCTCTGTCCCTCTGCCCGCTCCGTCCTCCCTGTCCCTCCATCTCCTCTATCTTGAGCTTCCACCAAATCTGACAATGACCTTGAGGCGAACACTCACTAAAGCATCAAGGCAGGAGCACCCCCAGAGTGCTCCCCTTGCTCCTCTGTCTCTCTGTGGGGGTCACTTGCTCTAAGTCGGAAGCCCCGGCCCTGCCAGCATGGTCCGAGGACATAGGCCCTGCGTGATGGCTGGACTCCACACACACGTGGTTCTGTGTGGCTTAGACCATCCCTGCCTGTTCTGCCACTGAGGCAGGGGCAGGGCAACACAGGGTGCCCGAGGCCACACAGCGGGCTCAGGTGTCACCCATGAGACTCCTGGCTGGAATCGGGGTCTCAGCGGGGCTGCTGCGGGGAGCTGGTGCTCCTGGGCCCTGCTTTGGGGGCGGGGGAAGAACCCAGGGTCACCAGAGAGAAGGTCCTGCTGGCACCACCCACAGCGGCCAAGAAACTGACAAGAGAAGGTTTCCGGGACCCTGAGCAGCTGTGGGCAGCCCGGGAAGCCCCTTCCAGCCAGGCTGTGTTCAGACAGCTGCAAAGTCTGGGTGCTGAGGGACCAGGCAGAAGGAAGGCATCGGCCTTGCCCACGGCTGACCAGGTGTGGTCCCAGCACTGCGTCTGTTCCCCCAACACTGCTGAGGGTGGCCCTGAGCAGAGTCAGGAGTAAGCCCTGAGCACACCCCGGTGTGGCCCAGAAGCAAACAGAAGAATCTGTGTGACTGTGGGACCTCCCCGCCCAGGGTGCTGTGGCTCAAGCCCAGGCACTGTGAGCCCGCCCAAGTACAGCTGGGTCTGACCCTTATGGCCTCTGAGCACCCATCACTGTGGGGAGCACTCCACACGCAGAGATCTAAAAAGATGATGGGAAAGTGTAGGATGGGACTGACTGTGTCCAGGCCACTGAGGCACTGCTGTCTGCTTTCCAACGGGAGACTGACACCCATGGATAATGACTCCTCTGGGGGCTGCCTCCCTCGGGCACTTCCTGGAGGAGAGCATGTGGCCTGTCACTGTCACGAAGACTAGCAGAGCTGCATGGGTGGGACAAGACTCAGGTATGGGCATAGCGACCCTGCTGTTGGTGTCTGTGATTCTGGCGCCTGTGGTCCTGGCATCCTCGGCCATTGTTACTGTGGTCCTGGCACCCGTGGCTGTGGTGTCCATGGTCCAAGCATCCATGACTTGGTGTCCATGGCCCTGGCATCCATGGCTGTGGTGCCTGTGGCCCTGGAGTCCGTGGCCCTGGTGTTCGTGGTTCTGGCATTAGCTATGTGCATTCCCCACACAAAGATGCCCGCACGCTTTGGGCCCTGAGCCAGGAGTCTCCAGTGAGACTGAATCCCCTCACAGACAACCCGGGTGGTCCCAAGGCTGCTCGAACAGGGGGGCAGGAGGAACAGATGGGCCGGGGAGAGCCGCCCCAGGATGCTGGTCTGGGTGTGGAGGGCTAGTCTTGGCGCATCACCATGTGTGTCCAGACAAAGGCTCCGGTGTCGTCCCCAGTTAGGGGTTTGGGGCCATGAAGGGAGGTCTGGGGACTCCTCACCCTTCTAAGGTCGGTGCCTGGTTCACTTTCGGGGGCCCCAAATAGTGCGAGTATGTCCGGGAGCTGGAGGTCAGGAGAGGAAATTCATCATCTCTCCAAGTCTTGGGGGCCTGGAAGTTGGGGATCTGCAATTGTCCTTTCCGTGTCGAGTGGCCAGCAGGGTGGGTCTGGCCTAGAGTGGGGCCTGGCCAACTGTCAGGGTCTGCACTGCAGGGTTAGGATTTGCACAGGGGCTGTGCGGGGGTCCTGCCCTTGGGAAGGAACCATCTCCGGTGGGCTGCGGCCCAGAGACTCCCCAGCAGGGAGAGAACCTGGCGACGAGAGGAGGGCAGGGGGAGGAGTCTGCAGGTGCCCCCCCGCCGTGTCCGGAGAGACCCCCTCTAGACGATCTACCAGGAAGGCCTGGCCTGGGGGGTGGGAGCACAGGACTGGGGCAAAAACACTTCCTAACCCTCAGCACCCCCTTCCCCCCAGGGCTGGGAGAACCACAGCAGGGAATGTGGCTCGGAGCTGTTCTGACAGCCGCGGTTTTAGAACCGTCCACACTGGGTCTGTGTGTGTCAAATAGGAGCCTGGGATGGCGGGAGACTCCCACAGAAAGGGGGCGGGGGGTGTCATCAACTTCATGCTTCTCTTGGGAGCGTTTTGCCGAACAGAGCTCAAGTTGTCACAGCTGGGCCACGGGCCACGTGAGGCTAAAGCCAGGCTACTCTGTCTTGCTTCACTCTGAGTATGTGTGTGTGTGAGTGTGTGTGTGTGTGTATGTGTGTGTGTGTACGCATTTGTATGCATGTCATATGTATCTGTGTGAAGAGTGTGGGTATTACGTACTGTGTGTGTGCTTGTGTGTCTGTGCTGTGTGTCTGCCTGTCTGTCTATTCTCTGTGTGTGTCTGTGGTGTGTATCCATCTGTGTCTGCATGTCCTGAGAGTGTGTGTCTGTCTGTGTTTGTATGTTTTGAGCATGTCTGTGTTCGTCTGTTCTGCGTCTGTGTGTCTGTGTGTCCGTGCCTGTGTGTGTATCTGTGTGTGTCTGTGTGTCTGTGCCTGTGTGTGTGGGTGTGTATCCATGTGTCCGTGTGTCCGTGCCTGTGTGTGTGGTTGTGGGATGTCCTTAGCTCTAAGCAGTGTCTGGGATGTGTGCGTACCCTCCGTGACCCACATGGCCCCCCTTGCCTCTCCATCACACCCCCACCCACCTCCAGCGGCCCCGGCAGCCCTCTCTAGCAGCACGTCTCAAGTGGGCGTGGGGAAGGAAGCAGGCACTGTGCCTGTTTGTCCTGGGTCAATGCCCTGGTGTGGCCTCAGATGACCCCAGGGGCACGACTGGGCTGCCCAGAGGTCCCCGCTGCCCTGCAGAATGAACTCAACATCCAGTCAGGTGTGGCCATGGGAGCCAGCAGCGGGGCGGGGGTACTCGGGGGGAGGTACTCTGAGCCGCCTTCTGAACCCCTCCCCACTGGGTCCTTGCATGGCTCTGCCCTGGCTGACCTGTGTCTTTTGTCGCTGCCTCAAGCTGGTCCCTGGCCTCACCACGCCCTGGTCCAGAAGACTCTGCCCACGGCCGCCCTCATGCTGAGTGCTCCCCCAGTGGGGTCTGTGTCTGGGCATCTCTCTCTGGGCTCTCGCTCCATCCCAAGGATGTCCCTGCTCCAGTTCCTCCCTGTCTTGGCCACTGCAGCTCATTCTACTTTGCCTTTGCAAGATCATTTCACTCTTCTGTACCTATTTGATTAAAAAATATTGTTTATTTATTTAGTCATTTTGGGTCACACCCAGCGATGCTCAGGGCTTCCTCAGGAATGACTCCTGGTGGTGCTCAGGGACCATATGGGGATCAAACCTGGGTCGGCCACGTGCAAGAAAAACGCCCTCCAGTTTCCTTGATATAAATTTTAAAATAAGTTTGTCTGTGCATAAAAATAGACCTTACTGGATTTCCATAGGGATTGCATAGCCTAAGAGACCAATTTCAAAGGAACAGAAGCTACTGCTCTGCTGAGCCGTCCAACCCATAAACAGATTAGCTAGATATTTTGTGGTTTCCTTCATCAGAATTTGAAATGTCTGATACACAAATCTTGTAGCTAGGTAAACTCTGTTTGGGGGTGATTTTCTTCTCAGCTTCTGTGTGTTTGTCCAGAGTTTTCAGAGTACAGAACACATTTAAATTTTTTTTTTCTTTTTTAGGTCACACCCGGCAATGCTCAGGGGTTACTCCTGACTCTGCACTCAGGAATTACTCCTGGTAGTGCTCAGGGACCATATGGGATGCTGGGAATTGAACCCGGGTTGGCCGTGTGCAAGGCAAACGACCTACCTGCTGTACTATTGCTCCAGCCCCAGAACTCATTTTTTTTATTTTTGGATCACACCCGGCGATGCTCAGGGGTTACTCCTGGCTCTGCACTCAGGAATGATTCCTGGCGGTGCTCAGGGGACCATATGGAATGCTGGGAATTGAACCCATGTTGGCCATGTTGGCTGCGTGTAAGGCAAACACCCTACCTGCTATGCAGTTCTCCAGCCCCAGAACTCATTTTTATGTGCTGGTTTTGTACCTCATGGCTTTGCAGAATTCTTTTATTATTTCCGAGAGTTCCTTTTGAAGATCCTTGGGTTTGTATTAAGTCTGGCACTAGCTGGTGGGGCTTGTGGACACCCTCTTCAGGCTGAGGTGATGGCCAAGACTGCTGGTTTGCCTTTCTTCCCCATGAATTGTATTGGATTTCTATCAAAGCTCAGTGGCTCATGGGAGTTTTCTTCTCTGACCTATTGAAACAGTGCATTGCATATGGGCCAGCAGGTATGGAACAGTCCTATCTGCCAGAGCGTAAATTCCTCTTTATATTATTGAATTGGGTTTTGTAGCACCTTTGTTGACAAAGTTTGCATCTAAGTTCATGAGAAACATTGGCCTATAGCTTTCTTTCTGTTCAATTTCTCTGGATTTGGGTCCAGGAAGTGCTAGTTTCATAAAAAAAAAAAAGCTGGGAAGATTCATTTGATTCTCCTATTTGGGGGAAGAGATTGTGCAAATTTGGCATAAATTCTTGGAAAAATGGTTGGCTTTGTTGAGATTCCAAGTTAAGAGTTTCACTTATTTAGAGGACCATTCAGATTTTTAATTCCATGTTAGTTGAGTTTTGATAGCTCACATGTTTTGAGAAATTAGTTGATTTCTTCTGTAAGGTTAAGGAGTTTAAGTTATTTTTACAGTATTTCTTTACCAGTCTCTGAACGGCTGAAGGGTCTGTAGTGATGATTTCTGTGCCATTAATGT